TTTCAATTTTTCGCCCCAGTGCATACCACCGCAAAATTGAAAGTGTTCCGTTTTTTTTTTTTTGATCCGGACGTGCTAACGTAGGGGCGAGATCAGGGGGTTGATGCTTCAAAGCGAAGGCGCAGCCAGGATTCATTGCAAGGGGGTAATGCTGTGTTTGTTCAGGTCGGCTATCCCGTTCATGATCTTTTTACCGTCAATACGTTGACAGAATGTCATCCATTAGAGTAGAAAGAACCAGGTGGCGAACACAGGCGAGGGACAGTGACACAAAATGATGAAATCATAAAACAATCTCACATCTCTCATTGCTGTGCTCCGCAAGAGGAATTGGCAACCACAGTGTGTATACTGCAATCACTGTGCTGCCACTCCCTATCCACACCGCCTTCCAATCCTGGCTAGACGCTGGGATTCTGCCCCGCGAGCATGAGCTGGAGCTCATCCGTGTTGGAGGCGGATCGATGGACCACCCGACCGCTGCAGCATCGCCGGTCGACCTCAGCCCGCCACCCCCCTCCGAACCCTGCCCGGCCCCGACCCGACCGACCCGAGCGTGACTGCCGACAGGGCCCGCCAAGATGCTGTCCGGAATCCTAATCTTCAACCAAAAGGGCGAGAACCTGATCTTCCGCGCCTTCCGCAACGACTGCCGCCCGCGCCTCGCCGACGTCTTCCGCATCCAAGTCATCTCCAACGCCCAGGTCCGCTCGCCCATCCTGACGCTGGGCAGCACCACCTTCAGCCATGTAAAGCACGAGAACATCTACCTGGTGGCTATTACCAAGAGCAACGCCAATGCCGCCCTCGTCTTCGAGTTCCTGTACCGCCTGATACAGCTGGGGAGGGGGTACTTTGGCAAGTTCGACGAGGAGGCCGTCAAGAACAACTTTGTGCTTGTCTACGAGCTGCTTGATGGTGCGGTCTCTCTCTACCTCGGCCACCCGCTCTACTCCCAGCGCTAACCCTTGATTTCCAGAAATCATCGACTTTGGCTACCCCCAAAACACAGAAACGGACACGCTCAAGATGTACATCACCACCGAGGGCGTCAAGTCGGAAAGGGCGCGGCCGGAGGATTCGGCCAAGATAACCATGCAGGCCACGGGTGCGCTCTCGTGGCGCAAGGCCGACGTCAAATACCGCAAGAACGAGGCTTTTGTCGACGTCATCGAGGACGTAAACCTCCTCATGTCCGCCACGGGCTCCGTCCTGCGCGCCGACGTCACGGGCCAGATTATCATGCGCGCATACCTCTCGGGCACCCCCGAGTGCAAGTTCGGCCTCAACGACCGCCTCCTGCTCGACGGCGATGGCATGATGTCGCTGCCCAGCGGCAACCGCATGGGCACCAAGGCCACCAAGGCCGCCGCCGGAAGCGTCACGCTCGAGGACTGCCAGTTCCACCAGTGCGTCAAGCTCGGCAAGTTCGACTCGGACCGCATCATCTCCTTCGTCCCGCCCGACGGCGAGTTCGAGCTGATGCGCTACCGCGCCACCGAGAACGTCAACCTCCCTTTCAAGGTCCACGCTATCGTTAACGAGGTCGGCAAGACAAAGGTGGAGTACAGCATTGGCGTCAAGGCCAACTTTGGCCCCAAGCTCTTCGCCACAAACGTCGTCGTGCGCATCCCCACCCCGCTCAACACGGCCCGCATATCGGAGCGCTGCACCCAGGGCAAGGCAAAGTACGAGCCGTCCGAGAACAACATCGTCTGGAAGATCGGCCGCTTTGCTGGTCAGGCCGAGTTTGTCCTCTCGGCCGAGGCCGAGCTCACCCACATGACCAACCAGAAGTCCTGGAGCCGCCCGCCCCTGAGCATGAATTTTAGCCTGCTCATGTTCACTAGCAGCGGCTTGCTGGTGCGTTATCTCAAGGTCTTTGAGAAGAGCAACTACAGCAGCGTCAAGTGGGTCAGGTACATGACCAGGGCTGGAAGCTACGAGATCCGCTTCTAGCCGCCATTTGAGTTCCAAGGTAGACGAGAAATCGCGTCTGTCCTAGTGAGTCTCCTTGTGTCTTGTGCTTCTGCGGCATGGCGCGGCGTTTCGTCTTTTCTCGTCTTTGTTAGGCTTCCGCCCGGGTTCTATTGGTATAAACAGGTGATATTGAACCAGGCCATATCAACAACACGTTATTGTTATGTCAGCCAGCTTATATTACTTCGACTTTGGCATAACAATTGAAACAGTCGACAAATAAACCAAAACCCGTGTATTATCCTGGTTTCCAAAGTTCCACCCATAATCTGCAACAACCTCCGGGAAATGACTACCTGTCTAGGTACACTCCCTCCAATTCCCGGCTCGACCCCACATTAAGGTGATTACTAAAAGACATGTTAGCACCGATCGTATGCTCTTTGGCACAGGCAATTCAGGTTGACTTACAATCTCAATCCACCGAGCCATCCACTTCTCGATGACAGCCTTGGCCTCGTCGACCAGGCCAAGCTCCAGAAGCAGCTGCACGCTGCCCCTCAGAGCGCTCTCGATCGCCGAGGCAATCCAGCCATGAGTATAGGAAGTATGCTCGCCGACGAACACGACACCGTCGTGCGTCTTGAAGTACTCTGGGATAAACAGCTCGTGCTGGCCCACGGTCGGGCTCGCCCAGCTCCCGGACTGCAGGGGGTCGATCTCCCAGCAGACCCTGTCGTGCTTGCCCGTGTACAGGCCGGCGGCCGCGGGCCCGTGGATCTCGAGGATGGCGTCCAGGACGTACTGCACGTGCTCGGCCTCGCTGAGCCCGCCGAACCTGCTCCCAAAGTGGTTGTCGAAGATGTAGCTGCCCAGGATGGACGCCGGGCCGGTGCCGTTGATGTTGTACGACGGGTAGCAGATGGTGCCGATGCCGGGGATGTCGGTCGTGGTCGAGCAGCCGCCGTAGATGGGCTTGGGCAGGCGCGTCTCCCAGAAGCGCTCGCTGAACTCGAGCGCCACCTTACACGCGTCGGCGTAGGGCATCTGGCGCATGGCGTTGGTGATGGTGGCGTCGAGGCGCGGGCTGAAGCGCCACTGCTTGACGACGGTGAAGGGCACGCCGACGACGGCGAAGTCGTACGTCGACGACTTGAACTCGGTGTCGGTCGGCTTGTCGCGCCACTGCAGCGTCACCGTCTTGGCGGCCGCGTCGCGCCGCACGCGCTCGATCTTGCGCCCGAAGGTCGTGGCCCCACCCACGAGCGGCTCGAAGGCCAGCGGGAGCCGGTTCAGGCCGCCATCGATGGTGGACCAGGTCGCGGCGTTGAAGTAGAGCTCGTCGTAGATCTAGAGATGGTGTGAGAAGGGGTGAAGGTGGGACGAGGGTTAAGAAAAGGGGGGGATTTGGCGACTGCTTACGTCGGTCCAGAAGCTCTCGGAGCCCTCGCCTGCCAGGATGCTGGTATCGTTGAGGCTCAGGCCGAGGTAGTTGACCATGAAGGCGAACTCGCTCCAGCGGTCGCCGGGCCCCGGGAGGGAGCCAACGCCATTCTTGACACTAGGTAGCGTAGAAATCCGGACGTCAGTATTTGTTTCCCCTATCTTGATCTCTGACCACCGGCTGTCTTTGCTCACAATTCGGCGTGTGCCCGGAACATGTTCCTGGCGGCCTTGGCCATGAACTCGTAGTTGTCAACGATAGGATTGCGTGCCTCCGCGGCCGCGATGGTAGACGGATCCCACGGCCTGCTGATCTCCAGGGACGGGTCAGCGTCGATCTCGGCCTGCGTGGGCGCGATGCCGCTGGGCAGCTTGATGTCGTCGTTGTAGATCAGCGAGTTGTTGGCCCTCTGGTACCAGGGGATCCAGTCGATGGTGAGGTTTTTGCCGTTGCCGCGGTTAAGCCTGTTGAGCTCGTCGGACAGGTCAAAGACCATCTGGTGGTCGGTGATGTTGAGCGTCTGCCCTTCCAGCTCGATGGTCTTGGGGAACCGCATCGGGCCCATCTCCTGGTACGAGTAGTCAAAGGGCCCGCCGCTCAGGTACGTCGTGTGGACGCGCCCGCCGAGCCGTTTGGACGCCTCAATGATCTCCAGGTTCTTGAACCCGGCCTGGCTGAGGACCAGGTACGTCATGAGCCCCGACATGCCGGCGCCGACGATGCCGACCTTCTTGGCCTTTGCCTTCTCCACATCGATGGCGCTCAGGTTCTTGCCCTCGAGCAGCGCCACGCCGTCGAACCAGGGGCCGTGCGCGTCGATGCCGTTGGTCGCGTTCATGTGGATGCCGTCCCGCGCCCGCAGGCTGCGGCGCCGGCGCCGGCTGCGCTCCGCGTGCATCTCCTGCGGCGCGCTGCGGCCCACGAGCGCGCCCGTGGCGGTGTCCCAGGCCGAGATGCAGCCGCGGGCCTGCGCCTCCGTCGGGATGCGCCACACTAGCCTGCTCCCGTCGGCGGCGACGGTGGCGGCGGTGCGGGCGATGACGTGGTGCGCGTCGGCCTCGCGCTTAGAGGCGCAAGAGCCGTACGTGAAGCTCAGCGGCGAGCGGGCGGCCAGGGCGGCGCCGTCCCTGACGGAGAGGTGGATGTTGGCCAGGTGCGAGTCGAGCGCGGTCCGCGTCTCGATCTGGACCGGCAGGGAGGCCGGGGAAGGAGACGAGGCGGCCAGCTGGCCCAAGAGGCCGGCGACGAGGATGGACTTCATCTTCTTGGCTGCCTGCTCTGCTTGTGTCTGGAGCGAGTGTGGGCGGGCTTTACGGCTCGCTGGAGAAGGGTATGATGCTCAGGGGCGCTCGAGCGTGAAGATCAAGTCGGATTCGGGAGAGATCTGGATATGACCCTGCCCTATTTATATGCCCTCACAACTCCTCCTCAGCCCCATTCGTGAGATACTGATCCATCACACAAGAGCAACGGTGCTATGGAGACATCGCGGCCATTCTCGGCTCCCAAGGTCCTGCCAAGGCCCTACTTTATGAAGGAAGCCAATATTCCAGGCGTCTCACGAAGGCAACAGGGGCTGAGCTGAGTCACGGGAAGTCTTCTCAGGGATAACGCGGTCAAGTGCTCAAGATGCTCCTCGATGTGGGAGTGTGCGAGGTGAACCTCTTGCCAGCCTTGCTCGTCTGTGATGACGAACGACGTCACACCGGGGGCCTAGGGAGGTCAGCAAAAAGGAAAATAGCGCCGAGCACCGAGCACCACGGAAAGGTGAGTCGCGGAGTTTGCGAAGTCTCGCAGGCGTCCTTCGCTTTTCTTCGCGTCGTACTCGCACTCCTGCCCCGGATCAGGGGCTACACACCGCTGCGAGCGGATATGTGCATGTTCACCAGCGCGCAGGAAGCCCAGCGCCAGGCTTCTGAGCACCCCTCAGGAATCCACAAAAGATATCAGCCGGAGACATCCGAAACAAAGACGCCGCCCAGGCTTGCGAGTTCTGGCCGTGTGCTTCCAGTCGCAGATTGTGGCTTATTATGACGATATGACGGGAGCAAGCCTCGGCCCCGAGCAGAATCGATCTTTGTGTGCGAGGGCTTGTAAGCCACACAGCCATTAACGTTACCCTTTCTACGGCTTCGTGATGCTGTAAGCAGAGCCTCAGCAGACTACCACGCCGCGGCCGGGCAATGCCAGTCGGACCCCCACGTATCATGTGTCGGAGCCCTCGTGCGTGATGAGCACGTCTTCAGTATTGGGGCTGCTCCACCCCAACCCAACCATTCTGCTGGCTACATCGCCCACAGAATATGTCTCTTTGCGGTGCGATTTCTGACATCCGACAGGGCGCACAGGGCTTGGCTCTGGACCTGGTGGTGGCTTACAGCCCGGGTTCCCGGTAAGATTGTCGCCTCCGCCCACCACGAGGCGCCCTACAGGATCCGAGTGCGGCCAAGAAGTCCGAAGTGGAAATGATGGGCGCGCCCTTCCTGAGGGCAATGACATAAATCTCCGACACGCATCGGGACTGGTTCCCACAGTTTGTGCGCCGAGTTGCTGCGTTGCTATTTCCGATATCTATTCAAGCACTGTAAAAATTCCTTCCAGCCACACTCTTCATGTCAGCACTTGCGACAACCGCACACATCTTCACGGTTCCATTGTGCCAGTCCGTGGCGGTGTTCCTAATCGGCTAGCCAGCCGATAGAAAACCGGCCATGCATCACATCCATCTCGCATCTAAACAAAGTACGTCAGCTCTTCCAGATACCAAACACGATTACCCTCCTTGTAGCACCCATATGCTCTGCAGTAGTCAATTGCGTCGTAGACTGACATAAGCTGAGGAACCATTACCGCAAACTCTGCGCTTTGCTCGGGCTGTGCTTCTTGTGCAGGCTGCACTTTAGGGGTGGGATCGCTGGTTGCTTTCGGGCTGACCGGTGTCACTTTGCCCCAGTCGGACTCAGGCATGTTGCAGTTGGAAAAGCCAGCGAGGGCAACAAGGAAATACATGTTTAACTACCCCGCGTAACTTGCAACGTCTGCTTATAGGGCTATGAAGCAGCAATAAGTTATTTTTCTTTGCACGGATTAAAAGCTCAAAGGAAATGTAGCAAGAATACATACCCAGTTCGAGTAGATGAAGATTAAAGGTGCGGGGAGTTTTCTTTTTTAGTAAAGTAATACTGTATGAAAGGGTTAAAAATAGAAAGCGCAAAGGAGCGAAGCCTTTCGGAATCGTATCTAGCTGGAAGCTAGGTATTTAATAGCAGGCGTGGCGCGCGTTTTCTACCTGTTCCACACCGGTTTTCTCATACGGAAGAAACCCTTTGGTGATGTCCCAGAAGGACATTATCGACCGTGCGCCTGCATGAGGCAGGCGCCGGCCTTCTAAACCCTATCTCTGGAAGAGGAGCTGCCAATCGGGCCAGCGGCCACTGTGGTGACGTGGCACCTTGGGAGTCCTGACCAGTTTGAAAACTGATAACTGGCTGTGATGCAAACACGGCAGTGCATGGCGCCTTGGTTTTCTGCACATAAAGCAGGAGTGATGAACCCGGAGCTCTTGACCGCCTGCCGCTCCTTGAAATCCCGCTATCCCACATTCTGCCTCGTTGCCCATCTCGTCGGGCACGACAGCGCATTTTGGGCAGAATGGACGGGCAGGCGCAAAATTTGAAACCCGATTTGCTCAACAGCCCAAAGTGGGATTTGCATCACTCCCCCACCGCAAATATTTCTATTATGAACATGATCGACTAATTTTGAAGCAAAATTGGAAATAGGAAAACCATCGGCTATAAAGAATTCACGAGTTGTGTCCTCAGACGATGATTTCTTTGCGCTGCGTCGCTTCGACAAAACACACTGCCGTACGCTTTTAGCGCTTCAAGACGAGATATCTATCTTGGAGGAGAGATTGGACGCTATCGACCACAGGCTCAGTACAGAGGAAGCAGTGTACTCAACTTTTAGAGCCGATCCTTGTCCTGAGAGACAAGCTATCCTGGCCGACCTGACATCGAGGTTGGGAACCTACGGTAATTTCCATATGCTCATCAAGACAGCACATTACACTGAGACTCTACTAATTAATGCGGAAGCGGAATTCAAGATAACCTATTGTCCGCATACATGGGCTTGAAGATGGTGCCTTATGCAGCCCGCTGACAATCAACAATATGCGATTGTGGCTATCCAACCAGTCGGAACCGATCAACACGGCGGAGACACGCTTCCTAAATGCTCCAGACCTCATCTCCCTCCAGCGTCAAAAAAGCATTCTTCCGACGACTGCTGGAGCAGTATGTTCTTGCGCCACTGGTGTACAAGGCCCGGTCTGTTCAAATGAGATTTAGTCGAAAGAGAGGTAAATCGGCTGAATCTGTGACCGATCCCATCATATCTGGGCCAGACGGACAAGTCAATATTGCAGCCAACGTGTTTGTTTTCGTGGCTGCTGTCTTCATGCCTATCCTGCCACTGTGGATTCTGCCTCCAATGGGCGACTAGCTGCACAAAAAGCTGGCAACTATCACTGATTTTCTTCTCATCTTCCTCATTTTCATGCAGTGGGGGACAGTCGCCAGACCATTCGAGGTTCTTGCTGCCACGGCCGGGTAAGTTGATAAGTGTTCATATCACGTCGCGAACCGGGGGTAGGTCGCGTATTTTAATAACCACAGGCTGACAAACTCCCCACCTTCACCGCAGATACGCTGCTGTTCTTGTTGTATTCCTACAGGTGGAACAGGCCTTGGTATGATGGGCCCGCGAGTACAACACGCGCCCAGCAAGCGGTTGTCAGGCTTTTTGGACAAGGGGGGGCCGTGTTCGCCACGAAGATATTGAGCCCAAAGCTCTACAATCGAACGAGGCATTGGGATCGGACTTTTCGGTACAAGAAATCCGTCTTTGGTGGTAGAGCCATCTGGTCGGACTTGTCCACAGCAGCCCCAAGACCGCAATCGACGGTGGCTTGTGGCTAGACAAGCTGCCCTAACGGCGCTCCTTCGCCGCGTTCTGGAACCCTATAGTCTAATGTCGCACCGACGGTGGTTGGGTGTTGCACCGCGCGGCGCCCAGACGCGGGCACAGAATCGTTTGAACGGCCTGCTGAGTAAACGTTCCGATGGCGAAGCTGGCGACCATGATGAATGCGCTAGCTAGGCTGATGAAGCCTGCGGGCGAGGCGGCCCGGGGTCAGCCGACAAGCAACCCAAACGGTTATGTAAATGTCAGCCCCCACAGCCTTGGGCCGGCGCATGCAGTGAGACACAACAGGCTTCGACTTCATATTGAGCACCTTGATGTTGACCAGGCCGCTGATTGGAGAGCCATTGGCGAGTTGGGGAACGGGGAACGCGGTGCAGCGCTCATTGAACGAGTGATAGGCTGGGGCTAAGGGCTGGGTCTGGCGTTTGTCCTCCCCCAAAGCGGCTGCAGCTCCATCGAACATAACGAAAGAAAACCATTAGAAACGGCAAAGTAGATAAAGGGTACTGTAATCCTCATAAATATTCCAACGCCGGGGGACAGATTAATAATAAAAACTATACCGCAAGCTCCGCCTCAGCCTGCCCGGCCGTCCTCACAATGCCCTCACCCTCCTCGACCGAATACACACCGGCCGAGACGAACTGCGCGACCACCTCCCGCACGGCGGCCACGAAGGCGGCGTGGCCGCCGAACGGGGCCTTATCCCACAAGACGTCCAGGAACGTCGGCCCGTCGGTGCCGGGGACGCTGACGCCCTGGACCGGCACGTCGTAGCGCGGCAGGCCGTTGTTGCGCTTGTGGTTGGCCACGCCGGCATCGAGTCGCCCGAACACGACGCGCGGCTCCACGCGCCGGAAGTAGGACGACGCCGCCTGCCGGTCGCCCACGTAGTAGGGCCGCGCCGTCAGCTTCTGCCCGCCGGCCGCCGCGGCCACGCTGAAGACGGCGTCGGTGCTGCCGCCTCCGGTAGCCACAACGGCAGCGTGGCCGTAGTCGCCGTCCAGCTTCAAATGTCTATACAGCGACAGCTCCCAGTAGCCGCTGTTGGCGCCGCCCGTGGCCGGCGGGCGCCCGACGATCTGGAGTAGCACCGGTCCCCGCATCAGGGCCTGGGTATCGGGCCGGTCGGGGGCGCGCTCGACGCGGACGCGGAACGGCATGCGCATCTCGATCGTGTCGCCCGCTCGCCAGGCGCGGGCGAGGGTCAGGTACGTCCCCGGCAGCGGGGTCTGCGCGGCCGGGTCGGCCTCGCCGTTGACGGTGACAGTGACTGTCCCCCTTTGCGCCCACGCCGGCACGCGCAGCTTGATGTCGAGCGGGCCCCCACCACCCGCGGCCGTGACGGTGAGCTTTGTGCTGTCGGCGCGCGGGAAGGCCGTGTCCTGCCTGAGCGAGAATGCCTTCTCCCCCCACGTCAGCGTCGAGGGCACAAACAGGTTCACCCAGAGCGCGGAGCCGTCGGCCGAGCGCAGGTAGACGGTCTCCTGGTACTTTGTGTGGCTCTCGAGCCCGCTGCCACCGCAGCAGGTGCCCGTGTTGCCGTAGTCGCGCGAGGCCCCCGGGGTCAGGGGTTGGAAGTAGGTGAGCTGCGGGTCGGCGGTCGTGGCCGTGTCGGCGCGGGAGCCGGCGATCATGTTGAAGAGGCCGCGCTCGTAGCCGTCCATGTAGGTGGCGTTGTGCTCGTGCATGAAGAGGTTGCGCGCCAGCTTGAGCATGTTGTACGTGGTGCACGTCTCGGCCCCGTTCTCGGCGATGGCGTTTGCGATGTTGCCGCGGTTCTGAAACATCTCGGCGTTGTTGTTGGAGCCCGGGTAGTTGCCGCCCGTCCCCCCGCTCGCGAACTGCCGGTGCGGGAACACCCAGCTGTAAAAGTTCCGCGCCGCGTCCAGGTAGTCCTGCTCTCTGCTCTGCTCAAAGATCCTCAGGTAACCGATGAACTGCGGGACATGCATGTTGGCGTGCAGCCGGTCGGTCCGGCGCGGGCCCGGGTTCTTGTCGCGGGTCAGGACGAGGATGTCGCGATCCTCCACGGCAGCGTCAAACAGGGAGGCGCGGTTGTCGAACGCCTTGGCCGTCTCCAGGTGGCGAGAGTCGCCGGTGAGCTCGTAGAGCTCGGGGAAAACCTCGTTTGCGCCGCCAGACTCGCCGGCAATGTAGAGGTCCCACATCCTGTTGAGGTCGTCCCTGGTCAGGTTGCCAGTGTAACCCGGGTAGTTCTTGTCCCCGATGGTCAGGGCTAGGTGCGCCCAGTCTGCCATCTTGACCACCACGTCGAGGGCCTGCGTGTTGTTGGTGTTGTAGTAAGCGTCCAAGAGCCCCCGCATGATCTTGTGCTGCGTGTACCAGGGCGCCCACGTGTTTGTCGCAGCGTCGCCTCCGTATATGGCCCAGCGCGGCGGACCGAGCCTCAACACCGTGTCCTCGGGGAGCGCGCCCAGGTAGCCGGGGTGGGTAGGGACCCAGGCCGAAGGCCCAGACCCTCGGTCGCTCACGATTCCGGCGTCCCGGCCGTTGGGTGAGGCATCCACCAGCGTGGTCCCGCCGTTTTCGTCGAAGCGGTACCACGCGATGTTTCCCCCGCCCGTCGTGCCCGCCGCCGAAGCCTGCAGGGACCGCACCTCGGCCGCGCTCAGCGCCCGGTTGAAGACGTGGAACTCGTCAACCGCGGCGCTGAGCGGCGCGTCCCCGTACTGGGACCTGCCGATCCAGCGATTGCCCGGGTTGCCCAAACTGGTCGGGTTCAAAGCCATGCCGGCGTTGGTGCCGGCCACCTGGCCGTTGACGTACATGATGCCCGTGGTGCCCTCGAGGGTGACGGCGATGTGCACCCACTCGTCGACAGGGAGCGCTATCTTGCCGTTGATCTGCTGCTCCTGCCCGGAGCCGCCGGTGGTGATGGCGAACCGCGGGGCGAAGCCGGGCTGGTCCGCGCGCGGCGTCAGGAACATGTTGACCGTCGTGTCCCTGCCAAAGTCGAAGAGGCGGCTCCAGGTCTGGTTGGACGCCAGCTTCACCCACGACGCGAACGTGAAGTCGCGCAGCTGGTTGACCGTCTCCTGCGGGAGCGTCACGTACTGCTGCCCCTGAGCCTCTTTGTTCAGCTGCAGGGCGTTGCCGAACTTGCCAGCCACGCGGCCGACGGTTTCGTTGTTTCCTGGCTGCTGCCCGCCGGAGCCGCCGCCGCCGCCGCCACCCATCCTCGCGGTGATGGCCTTTTGGCAGGCCGCCAGCTCCTGGACCATCCAGTCGAGCTTGGCCTTGAACACCTCCTCGCCCTGGTCGGCGTACGCCTGCGAGAGCGCCGTCATGTAGTGTCCAGCCCAGTGGCCGCTCAGCAGTCCGCCATCTTCCCACCCGCCCGGCACCGCGACCCCGCCCGCGCTGGGCCGTCCGGCCTGTTTGTTGAAGAGGACCAGGAACCGCCGCTCGTCGAACTCGCGCAGGAAGTCCTTCGTCCGGTCGCGCTTCTCCTGCAGCAGCCCATCGCCCAGGCGGACCTGGTCGAGCCGGAAGGGCCGCACAGGTGCCGTGCCGCCGGGGCCCGGGTCCGCAGCCACATTTGCTGCTGTGGTGCCTCCGAGGGCCATGAGTCCCAGGCCAACTGCCTGAAGCAGCCGGCGCGGACCAGACCGAGGAGCGATGCAATCAGCCATACCTGGTCGTCCAAGGGAATAGCTTTTGGGGCTCGTCTGGCGTCGTTGGCATTTTTTTTGTCTTGTTTTTGTCGCCCGGACGAGCGATCTGCCTAAATACTCATGTGAGATGCAACAGTGGTAGTGGAGGCTCGACATCCATTCCAATGTCACATGGATATAGGCGCCATTGAGGGGAGGGGCTTGATAAGGCGCTTTGCTGCCAAGTTGGTACTGGCCCCTCATCGTCGTCGCACCCCTGTCTACCCCAGCGTATCCGGATGAAATAGGAAGGAGGCGGGACTGCCGTCGGCGAACAACCCGGCTTGACGTGACGTCGGCTCGGTGTATAGCAGCCCGACAAGCCAAACGGATGATATTAGAAATGACAAATTCATTATGCTCTCAGCCGGCTGCCCCAACCCCAAAAGTTGATGAGATTTTGCCTAGTCGCACACCAAGTGGGCAGGTAATTATCAAAACACGTCTCTTGGAATAAAAACTTCGTTCACAGAAATTCTAAACCACGGCGATTCCCCATAATCAGCCATGCAATCATTTCAATACAGATCAGTCAGGCATGTTTTATGTTATTCTAACCCATACAGGGCGAGCGTCGAGCATCCCACAATGTCACTCATATCAGACAAAGGCGTGTTAGTCTACAATAAAAAATAACTATACGAACGCTTCCGGTTCCCAGATATAGAGGTTGCGCGATACTGATGCTGTATTTGCCTTCTCAGGGTACCAACCTCACTAATCATGGCAGAACACAATAACCCCCTCGAAGGCCAAACATTTACGGTCTTTTACATACCCAAACTATATAAGATAGAACCACCTGTTATCTTAGCACCAGCGGTCGATGTTCCGAGACTTATGCCATGTCGACAGCTCAGTCTCTCATAAGGTGGCATCTCTTGATTGCTGTCTCCGTGCTCTTTCATTACAGCTCCTAGTTAAGGATAATATTTCTTAACTGACGACATGACACTCAATTTGTTGATAAATTCCCCTCAACAGCAAACAACTTGCCTCAAGCAAGCGTTTTCGACCAGGGCAGTGTAGACCGCGATGCGTTACAGCAAGTTCCTCAGTACTACTGATATAAACGCGGGGCGCAAATAGCCAAACACTATCTTCTTTGCTACTATAGGAGAAATGTCTTGCCATGTGCGAGTTACAATGTACTAATATGCGCGGCAAGTTGCTTCAGATCTGGCTGGGCTGCACATGATCGCCGCTGAATCGACAATCCTTCATTATAAGTTATCTATCGGGCTTTCTTCTTATTAATATCGGGCAGTGGTCTGATACCATACTATGTCTACGTCTCTGGCAGCGATGGCGGCGGCGATGGCGGCGGAAGGTCGAGGGGGCCAGGGTGGAAAGTTATCCCTGCCTACATACAGTGCCCAGAAATAATGTTGGTCCGACGAAGGCGGGGAAGCAATGTGTATGGGGCATGGGGACATGTCAAGATATTATTAAGAGGCTTGGTCATTTCAGCTAGACGAGGACAAATTCAATAGTCGAAACTGTAGCCACGTGCCAAGCCCAAAAGCCATGTGATTTTTGAGGGTTTGTCGTACGTCTTTGGCTTTGCTGCTTGGCGCTAATCCGCCATTTCGAGCCCTCTCCTGTTCGCACGACTTGTGCCCCCTTGTCACTGTCAAGCAGATTGACGTATTTACTTACCGCTGTGGTTGGGCGGAAGGGCGGCAAGCGGCAGGCAGGCTCGACTGTCCCTCTGTAGGTTGGATTTCCCCGCCCTTGGGCCAGCGAGACCCCTGACAGCAGGGATAAGGGCGCGTGCTTTGCGCTAGTGTGGCAAAGCAACAGCACACGAGCCAAACAAACAAATGCCTAAGGAGAGCAAGGCAAGGAAAACGAAAGCTACCGACCGCGCCGGCGTGTGACGAGGGAGGACATCCACGTCAACTGCACCATCTGCTAAACTCCATCTGGATGGAGCCGCAGCTGAGGTGGTCTTGGCACGCGGCCACCCTGTCCAGCAGCCCTTTGAGTAGCTTGAGAAGCAGGTTTTCCGTCGTCATTCCATGTCGGACGGCTCGAGCTTGTCCCTGGATACGGAGGTTTCCGAAAGGCCCGCGGCGATGGGAAAATCTCAGGGTAGGTCAGGTAACGAAGACGGCGCCCTGGTTGCCTGCGCCTGGGCAGGTGCTTGGATGCACCAGCCAAACACCGAAGGAATTGGATTGAGGGGGCGAAAAGCAGAAGAAGCGCATGTGCTCGAGACCTCTGCGGCCTCTAACAAGCCGGGCGTCTGAGACATGCAGCTTTGTCAGACACGCGTGCTCGGTAGGGGAGGTTGGGTTAGGTTAGGGAAACACAGGTCCATCCCAAATGGTCCCCAATGGTCTGGCGGGCTACGAGCTGGCGACGGTTGGTGGTGTTGCCCGGGCCTTCTGATCACAACGAGGGGGTGAGAATGCATCATTTGACAATCGCCAGCATGCCGCTCGTGCTCGGGTGCGAGCTTGCATGCCCGTCTGATGGTTGAGGGGGGGTGTTTGTCGGTTGGGATTCCGCGACTGGGAGCTGGGGCTGGAGCTGGAGCTTCCCAGTTCCATCGATTATAATCCAGCCAGCCCGATGGGAAGCTGGCACCCACCTCCAGCTCCATGCAGGCAACAGCAGAGTTCCTTCCATTTTCAACGGCTGATTAACACACCACTTTACGATGCCACGAACAGATACATGGCCCTGTGGATCGTCACCTGAACACCCCTAACCTACCGCCCTAGCTGCCTGCCCGCCGCCATCTTTTACCACCAGACCAAATATACTTCTTCCGACACTCCTCTCGACACCATTTCCGATCCAATCCAAATTGCCCCTATCAGATCTTATCAGCAGACTCGTGAGCGTCATCGCACCCTCGCGAAATAGCTGGTCGCCGTTCCTGATCCAGCCCAGAGCGGCCCTGGGCCAGACTCACCATTGCCTGTTCTGGCCAACATTTGCCCCAGACCAGCATTGGAGAAGCACCGCGCGCCGGCAACAACCGTCGCGCTGTTCGGAGACAGTCTCAACGGCCTCGATTGACGCGCGTTGTCCGACCGTCTGTTTTGGCAGAGCAGTGCCCGTAACTCCCAGTAGCTGCTGCACTGGGCGCCTGGTCTGCTTGCGTCTCCACCTCCATCTGACTGGCTGTGGGTAGCTGCATGATGCATCGTCCGGCCCCCGGAGAAGAAATAGAAGAAAACGAAAAGGGCTCGGGACTGCATGCTGACTTTTTACTTGGCTAGGACAAGTGCACACGCACGTGCTGTTCTCGGGGCACGCTGCTGAGCCCAAACAAACACAAGCCCCTCCCGCCCAAAAACCGCCTTCAAGCCCGACGCAGGACGAGGCGTTCTGTGCCTCTCAACCTGTCCGCGTACTGCAGCTCTTGTCCCTCGCTGCTGCCGTCGTCACCCTGTGCGAAGTCTGGCTCGTCTGCTCCATTCTTCTCCCCGCCTCGCCATCCTCCAACGACAGCCCTAGCCGCCGCCAAACGACTGGGCAAGAAGGGGGCATAGCCAGCCGTCAATCTCGGCGACGATCGCCGCAGAGCTGCCAGATCTCACTATCAGTCTCTCCCGAATAGGTCTAAATCATTACAGAAGAAGGCTGCCCGAGGTAAGTGCCAGTCTCGCCTCGTCTTCCAGGATTGCACCCTGCTCTCTTGTCACACGTGCTCTCTTCCATCCTGCCCTCCTTTTCCCCTTGCTTTTTCATTTTCGTCACTCAACAACACAGCCTGTGATATTTCTTCAAATGGGGTTCTTGCCGTCATCCATAATACATATTCTGTTGTGAAAACCTTGGGAGGTGATGATGCCTCGAACGGCGCAGTCTTGTCGACGGCGAATTTGACCTCCTTGCTTGCCTCAATTAAGTCGACCTTTTCGTCATTACTGCGCCCACTAGGGCTTACCTTGCCCTTCCTTGGCCACCACTGTTGTCATCTCCCCGCCGGCTCTATGGACGCAGTTGCTTAGCTGCGATATCACCAATCATGTCTCCTCCTCTGGTTCTCCTACTATCCTTTCAACCTACATGCTCTGTCCTATCCGTGTGCGTAACGGAACGTTTTTGTATTAATACGTTTTCGCTAGCTTTGCCTTTCCACGCAGGCTCCAGCCGTGCCACCTTCTACCACTATCTCACTGCCCGCAGGCGAGACACCACATAAACAAACAAACAAAACACCCTGCTGCCGCCCACTCTCCTCCCAAACCGTTTGCTATCCCCTTACGCAGAGGAACCGTCATCATGGAACCGAAATCGCTGCGAACCAAGCTCCGGAATATCAAACCTTCCCATGCCTTCCATAAACTTACTAACAGGCTGGGATCCAAGGTCCGTACAGGCTCCACCGAGGCATGCCAGCCCAGAGCCTTGACACACGCTCATGATTCCACTTGGGGTCTAGACCCAGAATCGACGGGCCCGTCAACTTCTTCATCTACACGCATGTCTGGAATCGTGGTAGGAGACACGCCAGCATCCCATTCAGCACCTACACAGCAGCCCTTGTCGGTACAGGCAGCGCCTGGCCTATCAATCCCGTTAGCTCCTGGGAACACTGCCACCTCTCAGAGTAAAAGTCACGAGAGCACGGGGAAGCCATCCGGGAGTGTGAATCAGACGCAAACGCAAGCAGGCTCCAGCATGGTTGCCAAAAACCACGAGAGTAATGGCCTCGTCCAGGAGAAGGACCAAGACCCGTCGGATGACAATGCCAGCTATCATTCGGCGCCAACGGAGCAAGCTCAGCAGGGCGAGCACCTGGCGCTTCAGTTGGAACATGATCTCAGCCCTCACTTGCCAAATGCCGGTCAGGCCAATCAGGCAACTGCCAAGCCCGCTTCAAGGCGTACCAGGCTCAGGCAGCGTTTGAGGGCGAGCGCGAGCTCAGCACACCAAGCTACGCTAACGGCCTCTCTAAGTGGATGGAAAGAATGCCAAGAGCTCAGACAGTACGGTCGTCAGATTTCGGTGCGCTGCAGCAAGTGCGCAAGTGACATATATGTGGGAGATCACAGCGTAGTCCGCCATACCCAAGACATGATGATGAACGCCCAAGGTTTGCCTACCCCTTGGCGCTTGGAACGTACATCCACACAGCGAGGCTGACAGACACAAACCACAACGCCCACAGCGCCGCACGACGCGACATCCGTCAAGAACGTTGTTCACTCGTCCATGTTCTGCCAGCGATGCAACAGCCTCACCTGCGTAGGCTGCGGTGAGACTGTCGATCGCAAGACCGCTGCCGTGGACGAGACCACATCGGCCTGGACAGAGGGCCACGGCAAACGATTTCGCGTCAACTGGCACTGCGACCAGGGGCGTCTGTTCATGATCTGGCTTTTCTCCGCCGGATACGACTATAAGCCGCCGCCCCCTGCCTCACCCACTTCCCATCGGGCCTCGCTCGCCGGTGCCGGCTACCAGAGGTTCTCGAGGCTTTTGTTGCCGTTCGGTCTTAAGAGCGACACGACACCGGCCCCTGAGCCTGCCACTGCTGCATCGCCGCCATCGCCCTCACCTTCGTTGTCGCCTGCGTGGGACATGATTGACCCCGCACCCGCCACGCCGGTGCTAGCGCATGCAGAGGCGAACGCCTCCGGCAGCGGCACTTCGGGGGTGGCAATAGCAACGGCAGCGGCTACAGCCGTACCACCTACCCCAACCGACTCCAGCAAGGGGAAGTCATCCATGTTCTGGGGATCTAGCATCGGATTCTCCGGCCTCAAGTCGGTGGGCCTTCCTGAGAAGGGTACGGGCTATGGGCGACACGACAGCCGCACCTGGACACCGACTTTGACGCGGTCCGCCAAGCAGGAGGAGAGAGAACGGATCCAGGAGCAGTACCTTGGATGCTTGGCTGTTCTGGTGCCGGCCACAGAGGGCCAAGAATGCCGGCTCAACAAGATCTCGCCGAGGCTCGTGGAACTCATGATCCGGCGCAGCCCACTGATGCCCATGTGCGTAGATCTGCTTCGCAACCACGCAATGGACGAGCTCGCAGCGCGGTCGAAGCTCTACGGCGCCCTCTGCGCTCTGCTGACTGCCCTCGCCCGCCACCCGGCCACGGCTGCTATGCTATTCCGCCGCACCAGGCTTTACCCCGAGCGCGAGCAGACGGTCTGCGCCTCCATACACACCTTGGACAAGCCTGCAGCAGCCGCGACGCCGCCGCCAACGACCGAGTACGAAGAGACGACGTCGCTGCGAGACCTGATCGGGGCTTTCGTGTCGCAGTGCCGTGTCCTCCTGGCGCACTCTCTCGCGCACAGCGACGAGTTCAAATCCAAAGAGGATATAAAAATGCTAGAGGTGTGCGAACGCATGTGTCGTCTGGCTGTCGTACTAGATGAGAAGGAGGCAGGGCTTGTAGCAGCGACTGCCGGAGAAAGCGACAACGGGTCCGAGACCTCCCCGCCCAGCAGTAATAGCAGCGGCAGCGGCAGCAACAATAAAACCAACAGCAACAGCGGCAGCAGCCGCAATTCTGCCACCATCTCAGCTGCTGGTACCCCGATCAATACCACCGCCCTCACGGCCGCTGAAGAAGAGGGGCGAAGGCACCGGGCATACCACCTTTGGTGGGAGGCCAACCGTGTGAATGAAATCCCCGAGGCTGACATGATACGGTTCTTCTCGTATCACTCAGAAGCGGCGGCGCTAGCCAACCGGGCCACCCCGTTTCCAAAAGGCCGTATGAGAAAACTGATCAAAGACCACATGACGCTACGCTCCGGCCTCCCCGAGGGCATCTTCGTCCGACTCTGCGCCTCGCGCATGGACGTGTATAAGGTTATGATCGCCGGCCCCAGGGGAACCCCCTACGAGAACGGCCTGTTCGAGTTTGATCTCTTTTGCGGCGCCGACTACCCATACCAGCCGCCACAGCTGCGCTTCCGGACGACTGGAGGCGGGCGCGTGCGCTTCAACCCGAACCTTTACGACAACGGCCTGGTATGCCTCAGTCTGCTGGGCACCTGGGGTGAGGGCCAGAGATGGGACCCGAACAGCTCGACGCTGCTGCAGGTTCTCGTCTCTATCCAGGCCATGGTGTTTTGCGAGGAACCCTACTACAACGAGCCTGGTCACGAACTGCATCCCAAACCCAACGACTCGGAGCGTGAGAACGCGCGGATGCGCGAGATGACGCTCGAGTACGCCATGATGTCGTGGCTGCGCGGCCTATGTCCCGCCGTGGCCCCTCCTAGGCTCGCCCTTTACAAGCCCCCATCTGTCGGGAAATCAGCTTCCGGCCCGAGCTCTGGTTCTGGCTCCGGATTTAGCATCAACCTGAGCGTCCCGGCCCTGCCGCCACCATCGCCTACACCTTCGTCTTCATCGGGATTTGCCCACAAGCCAGGAATCTGGGAGGACCTGGTGCGGGAACACTTCAGAGCCAACGCAGCGGCCATCTTGCGAACGGCCCGTGGGTGGAAGGGCACGGCCAATGGCGACAAGATCAGGGGGTTGGTACTGGAGCTCGAAAAGCTCCTCAGGGAGCATAAGTTTGTGTAGGAAAGAAGGCCATCCATGGCGGCCTCGCTCCTCCCCGCCCCCTTCGAAAAACCACGGAAGGGAGGCTGTTCTGCGGGTTAACTAAACGGAGAGTGCTCCTCCAAAAACAAGTGTTGAGGGATTTTCGCTGTGGAAGCCATGTGAAGCATACCATATTAGCAATGTTGTCTTGTGGCAAGATTCTCCCTTCCCTGTCATGTTAAAGCATTTATTTACCTGTTTCCCCACTAATTTTCCGGTTTTTGTAACCCCTACCTCTATGTTGATGCATCCAGAACCAGGAAGACTATGTGCCATGCCATCGGCTGTTGTTGCAACTCCAGGGGTTTCGTTTCCACGAAGCCGTTATCTAATGTCAGGCTGACGAGATATCTGTGGAGGTTGCTGTGGTGAGTATGTAGCGTCGGGGCATAATTCGTAGATTATTTAATTCCAAATCTATTGTCCTCCGTCGGCCATTGCCAGAATATCCGAACAAAGCCAGCCATTCCTTCCGTTTCCCATAAATTCGTATGCTCCCTTTCAGGGACCCCGCTAGCGAGGCATCTAGTTATAGCTTGAGCGTACTGGATATACCTGGGTCCAACCCCGTGAATTAGATAGCCTCGTCATCAACACCGCTCACTGATTTTCCCCTTTCTCCCACAGTAAGATGGCCACATGGACGCAGCCATGTCTTCCATGCTGCTTCCAGCATCGGGCAGGTGGGCCGTGCGACCTGAGCCATCGGGGGCATCGATTCCCCCACCATCCACTGCGACCGGCGGCTCCAGCCTGCCTACCTAGGTATGTGGTCAATATGGCCGGTGTGGCTAGAGGCAGAGGACAGGTCGAGCCTCTAGTCGAGACACCATGCGTGGAAACAAGGGCCTATCTGAGGGGGCCGGCCGAGTCCACAAAGCAAATGATTCCAAGTACTCCCTCATTTCGGTCACGGCCACACCCAGCCAGTCTGAGCCTCCTTCACAGGGGCGGCCCAAAGGGGTCGTTGCTGACCTTGCGCCGCTTGGGGTCCCGGCTCGAGTCCCCCGCGGCCGCGGCGGCAAGCATGGGCCCGCCAAAGACGGCGCCGTCGTCCTCGACCGTGGCCTTCTTGGCACCAGGGCGGGCGCCGGGGCCCTCGTCATCGCTGTCGATGCTGTTGAGCGCCCGCTCGCGCCGCGCCTTCTGCAGCGCCACGAGGTCGTGCCGGTCCGGGTCCCGGCACTTCTTGAGCTTGCGCTGCAGGGGCTTGAAGAGGGTGGCCTCGTGGGGCTGTGTGTGGTAGGATGGGGTGCCGCTGCCCGTTAGCGTCGGTAAGATGGTGGGAGATTTTACATAGTGGTGGTGGTGGTGGTGGTGGTGGTGGGACGCTGTGTTCCGACTTACCGTGCCGTAGTACTCGTCCTCTCTCTCGGGCGGCTCCGTCTCGAGCATCTTGCGGCAGGCCGCGATGGTGGCCAGGACCTTCTCGCGGACCTCGGCGCCGAATATCCGCTCCCTCTCCAGCTCGCTCTTCTTGGCCCTGCCGCTCCTAGCCGGCTTGCCGCCGGGCTGGACCGCCGCCGCACCGTCGGCGGTCGTCGCGGGGGTGGCTGCGCCGTCCTCGGCGAGCGGCGTGGCGGTGCTGCTGCTGCTGCCGCCACCACGCTTGAACGTCTCCTGTATCAGGCGCTCGAGCAGGCCGTGGTCGGCGATGGACAGTGCGGCCATCATGATCTGGCTAGGCGTGTAGTGGAAGTACACGTCCGTGACGAGCGAGCTGAAGCGCAGCACGGCGCCGGCGCGGTCGTGGGCGCGGCCGAGGCGGGCGTCGTCGTCGAGGTCGGCGGTGCAGCGGCGCAGCTGCATGAAGGCGCCCTGGAGGGCGCGGAAGGGGTGGCGGACGTCGAAGGCGAAGCGGACGCCCTCGCAGAGCAGAAACTCGCCCGCCAGTATCTCCTCGGGCGTCGTGCCCTTGATGCGGTCGGCGATGCGGCCGACGCGCAGGTAGTGGCCCTCGGCCTTGGCGCCGAAGAAGAGCGCCGTCTTGATCATGGTGGAGGGCGGGTACGTCATGATGCTGTTTGTGACGTAGAAGCGCTTGAGCAGCACGGCGGCGCTCGCGCGCGCGTCGCTCGAGAGCTCGCAAAAGGTGGCGGCCTTGAGCAGCATGACGGTATAGAAGGTCAGCAGCTGGTGCTCATCGGCCGGGGTTAAAAAGTCGGGCAGCGGCGCGGGCGTGGCGGCGACCGAGCCGGAGCCGTTGCCGTTGCCCGAGTCGCTGTTGGCGCCGCTGCCGCTGCTGCGCGCCGCCGCCAGCCGCGCCGAGATGCTCGCGGCGGCAAGCTCGTTGGTCTGCGCCCGCAGGCTCGCGAGCTTGCCCGGCGAGAAGGACCACAGCCGGTACTGCGTGCTCTGCCGGTAGCGCGCATCCTCGGTCGCCATCGTGGTGGAGGGGTGTGCTAGAACGGGGCCTTCGTGCTGCTTTAGCTGCTTCTGTCTGGCAGCGTTTGGCGGTCCGCACTTTAGGCGGGCTGGGCTGGGCTGGGCCTTGTGGCTGGTGGACAGGCCAAGCCACACTCGCCTCACAGCTACTGTGTAGATGCCCGATCAGCGGCAGCGACACACCGCAGCCAATTTGGCGAGGTTTTTCTGAAGCTAAGCATTGCGACCTTCACTCAACCTCGAGCCCCGCCAAGTACGCTTAAACGAGAGGGTACCATCTGCAGAGAGGGTGACGCCGTGGAAGGCGACCATGAACTCGAGCACTCCAAACAGCGGAACTGCCTTCTGGGTCCAGCCCGTTTAGGTAGCCCCGCCCTCCGTTGTAGGTACCTAGTGTCTGGTCTCCAACCCCGAAGCTCTCCAAGGCGGGTCAAGGTGGATTAATCATTACAGTATCACGCAGGTCTCGCCCAACGCATCATGATATAAAAGGAGCAAATGATGTGATAATGGGCTATCGATGCATGACACGCCTTTGCTGCTGATGGCTTGACCTTCCACAACGGAAACGACCCGCCAAGTAAATGAAAAATTAGGACGGCGGCGCGGGTGACCAGTCATGAATCCAGTCCATGCACAATGGCCCGCCCGCTTCGAGGTCAACGACGAAACCGAAAAAGATTGAACCCTGCCTATTTATGCGCCTGTGTCCCGGCAAACGTTTCTTGACTCTGTCCTGTTCCTGCGTACCGGAATAGTCGAATATGAGAAATGGTTCGCCTGTCCCATGTAGATCCCCCGTATTTATAGGGTTTGTGCCGTTCCAAGAAAATGGGTGAAAAGCCAAAAAGCCACCAAGAAACAAACGGTGTCGTGATAAGAGTTACGCCGAAAAAGAACCCCACCCAGTCTATAGGGTTATTAAAAGTAGACAAGTGCGTATCGCAGATTAAACACCTTGAAAGGTGGACTATGGTGTTTTGAGAGTCCTCATCCTAACATGACCGCTGGGCTAGGCACGCGGACGGCGCTCTAGTACATCACCTCACGCTTCGCCGGGATGGGCGGGGCAGGCTTCTTGGAGCGGCTGGGCGGCGGGGGAGGCGGTGCTTTGCGGCCGAGCGTACTAGCGCTCCTGCTGACGCTGCCGTAGCTCGTCGCGGGCGAGGTGCTCCGCTCGCCGCCAGCTATGGTACCCCACTCCGGGCTGCCGTTGCTGCTCGAAGTGTCGTCGTCGTACCGGTCGGCGAAGACGTTGTTGTTATCGTCTGGGCGCATCACGATGCGGCTCACAGGGCGCAGCTGCCCACGCAACGCACCAACGTTGGTGGACATGGCCATGGGTGACGATGCTGCCGCCTGCTGTTGCTGGTAGCCGCCGCTGTAGCCGCCAGGGGTGCTAGCCCCGGACCGCATGGGTGCCCGCTCAACTGAGGCGCCCGACTGGAACGTGTTGGAGCGCGCGAGCGACGGGCGCGTGGGCATGTCAGGCCCGGCCGAGTTGGCCCCGCCAGCATGGGCATTGGATCGGATTGGCATGCGGACTGGCGGCGCGGGCTCGTGGTCGTCGTATGAACGACTGTTGTCGCCTCTGCCGTTGCTGCCGTTCGTGTTTGTGCGCGAAAGTCGCTCGGTGAGGGACTGGAATGTGTTTGAGCGGCTTCTAACCGGAGCCTGGCGCTCAGCAGGGTAGGCAACAGCACCAGAGCCGTGGCCCTGGTTGTTGTGGTATCCGCCGTGACTGGGCGAGGAACCGGCATTGGTGGCAGTCCACATCTCACGAGTCCTACGAAGCTCATCGGCACAGCGCTCGTGGAACTCGAGCTCGACATCCAGGAGCGACGTCAGGTCACGAACCGAGTCGGCCTCGGCGTCCTTGATGTCCTGCATGCGTCGGCCCACGTCCTCGGATGTCTCCTCGTACTTGGCCTTGGCCGTCCTGACCTCCTCCTCAATACGGAAGTCGTCGCGCCGCGCCTTTTGCATCTTGGCCATGCTTGCATCGAGCGCGAGCCGGCGGTTCTCCAGCTTCTTCCTGGCGTTCTGTTGCAATGGATAAAGGGGTTAGATCGGCCGTCTGAATCGGGAGTGGGAATTCCAAAGTCAGGTTGGACACGTACCTGGTAGTCCTTCATCATAGCCAGACTCCTATCTAGCGACTCGAGCCAGACGGTTGTGGCGTCAGCCACGAACTGTTCCTGCATACCGGCAATCGTTTCGTTGGCGCGTCCCATGGCTGTGGAACCGGTACATGTTAGTGTGAGAGAAAGAAAAAAAACACCACGGAGGCTTGATCATCTGCGTACCAATGAGGCAATTGCCAAACTCAGAGTCCGACTCAAAGTCCTCGCCGTGGTTGACCATGGTCCTTCCGAGGTACGCCCCGGGCAGGCCCTTCTCCTTGTCTTCGAAAGTCTCGTTGCGACGGCCGAGCCACTTGACGTATGCGTTCATGGACTTCTGCAGACGGTCCATGCCTGTTTGGGAATCCCGTGTTAGTGATAAGCCATTTGTTTGCTGCGGGGCCGTCAGCCTGCAGGACACATACCGTCAAACCTCAAAGCCATCTCTAGCTCGAGCATCTTGAAATCGTCCGTCGTGCTCGTCTTGGCCTCGCTGCCCATCTTCTCGCCAGCCCATTGGAAGGCGCGGTCGAACTTCTTGGTGATATTCATCTTGGCTAGCTTTCGTGGACTCGGTGGTTTTGGATTGGGTTGGGTTTGTGTTGCGTCTTGTGCGGTCTAGAGAGTGGATGGGCGGCTGCTTTTGGGATGCAAGAGTCGTGTCGGTGCCGTGGGCTATAGCGTGGTGGACGAGAGTCAATTGGGTCCCGTGTCCTAAGTCTGGTCGGTTTCAGGGTTCGAGGTCGTCTCTGCGGGTCTGGCAGATGCCTCCCACGTCTTCAGTCGTGAGTCGAGGTGCACCAGGTTGTTGGATAGAATCCTCTATACGGAATCCTGGTGGCGGGTGATGTATGGGAGCTGTGTGGGAATAAAGGTAGACTAGTAGCACCCGACCGAAGAAAGAGAAGGCGGTTCTTTCTTTAAACGGGCACCAGAACAGTGAGGCACAGGGGAGGAACGAACGGGTCCGGAGGAAGAGCAGACAGGCCGCTGGATAAAGAGAAAGAAGCTCGTGGTGTGGATGGAGAAGGAGCAGGGGTGATGGCTCTTTCCCCCGGCTTCGCTCAACACGAAAAGAGCAAGGGCGAATGGACGAATAGTGGCGACAAAAAGTGGGCGTGTCGACGGACGGGGTCTGCCTCTGAGAGCGAGTCAAAAATAGCACGTATTTGGGCTTTTGCTGGCCGGACAGGTTCAGGACTCCCTGCAAGGTCAAGGGGACTGGGACGGGGCACGCCTCAGGGGTGGAGTGTGGAGCGGGATGCTATTTCGGTGGGATGGGATTGGAATGCCGATTTTCGAGAAGATGGGACATGGGACGGCCAGGGACTTCTATAGAAAGCTTCTTTCTTGGTGTTCTTGGCTGCGGTTTTTTTTTATCCGCTCTTCCTCTTTCGCTGTCCGCCACTAGCACTCTGCCTGGCCTGGTCTGGTCTGTCTCTCGGCGGATGCTGTCTCCTTCCCGTCCGGTACTGGGCAGGGGCAAACAGCTGCTGGCTCCAGGTCGGCCGGTCCCAAACGTCCAATGGCGGCGGCTGGTGGAGGAGTGGCTGGTTTTTGGCAGTCTTATCTTTAGTGCGGGAAAACAAGGGGTCCCCCGCTCTTCACCGGCGCGGGTGTGGTGTGCAGGCGTGCATCCACCCAGTGGCACACACTGCTGTCGTCCTGGCCCTGGCGAGACGCAAGATGCACACGCCGCCCAGGGGTAAGAAAAAAAACGGGCGGGTGGAGGTGAAGGGTGGTGGCGGGGATCGGTCCAGAACCGACGCTCGCTCAACCGACGCTGGGCGTATCAGGCGGTGCACTGACGATGTTGCAGCTGCTGCTGCTGCTGCTGGTATTTGGGCGCGGAGAACTTCCCGTCTCGGCCGATGGAGCGCAGCGCAGCAACAGCTCGCAGAAGTATAAAGTGCACTGTTGGTGACCTGTGTGGCAGCTCGAGGTGTGGTGGTGGTGGCGTGCGTTTCCGGCGATGGCTAGCCGATCAGGGCAGGATGCTCGGGAAAGGCAGGTTGCAATTTAACGAACCCGGGTTCGGCGCTGTGGAAGGTGGTATCGCCTGTGCAGTATGGGGTCGCGCTAGCGGCCACGGGTCTGGAGAGGCAGGATGTGGATGTCAACGGCTCCAATATCGGAATGCAGACTGCCAGGATGAATTCAATATTGCCACCGGGTGGGGGACAGATGGCTGGATGGATGGCTGGAAGAAATCCTGGGAGAAAATATTACAATCAGGAGAAACGAAACAGCAATAGGCTCATGCCCAAAGGCAGCCACGACTTATATGTATCTACGGCCGTGCTGTGGATATCTTTTGACTGCCGACATATGATGTGTGTACGCCAACCACAGACATGCATCCGTCGGTCTTTTGGTCGCCCATGGCTGGCGCCCCCGGGCACGCTTACTACATGCCTAGAGGTGGTAGATACTACTCGATGCTGCTTGTGCTTGAGTTGGCGGCCCTTTGCCCTGGAGGGGAGCAAGACCAGTGGACAACGTGGAGGCCCGGTCGGTTGGTGGCTGGCGTGCTGGCTTGCCGGCTGGCCAGATGGCGACGGCCGGCCAGTAGCAGCAATGGGAGCAGGCAAGGGACAGACAAATATGCGCCTCCCCTGTCTTGTGCAACACCCGTCGCGGTACGCACGATTAACCTCGACAACCTGTGGCCAGCAAGCGGCTGTCAGGGCCGTCTCCAAGACCAATGGCTGGGTCTCAACCAGGGGAATCCGGCGGCACTGGCATTTTCTAGCCGTGCGGTGGATTAAACCTGCGGATCACCCAGACTCCCCCCAGTAAGCGCCGCTCGCCAGAGTCCACTCGTCCGAACGATTGGGGAATTCGGACGCATCTGGCGCCAGGCTTTTGCCGTAGCGCATGCGCCAGCAAATGAACTTGTCGATGCCGCACACCACGCACACAAGAGGCAGTCCGGGATCATTGGCCTAAAAAAACAATAAAAAAAACAGACGGGAAATCTGCACTCTCGGCAAGTGGGTGATTCACTTCGCTCGTTGTCCACTGGATCACCGAGTCTGGATCACTGGATCACAGTCGATGCGGCCCTCAACGGTGATTCCCGTCAGGCCCTGGGTGAAGCTCAATTGAGGACTTCTTTGTGTGACAGGATGGACAGGAACGACGGCAGAAACCAAAGCGGCAGTGCAGCGCAACACCAGACACTTCCCAGCCAGTCGCTGACGCCTCGCCGACCATCTCGAGATTTCACACCCAATCGAGGCAAGGAGACGCCAGTTTTGGGCCGCCTGACGGCAGTGGTGGACATGGCAATCGACAAAACAGCCTGGATCCCGGTTTGGCTTTGTCTCTGCCAAACGACAGGGTTTCAGCCTCAAACGGGCCACCCCAATCAAACCGCCGCGGCCATTCAGTCTGGGCGCGTGTCCTGTCCGCACGGCACAGCCTCAATAAAAGAGCGACTGTTGCCGTGTCAAGATGTCGAACTCAACAGACCATTTCCATTTGCTCGTTGGTGCTCATCCCTGGTGTCGCGCGGCTAGGACTTCGTATTTTGATCGCCGCAAGCCTCTTTTGCCTTAACCCTGACACTGGCCTTGGCAACCTGGCATCCATGGCGTTTACAGGAGATCCAAGACCATGTGCAAGGTGTAGCAAGCAAGTGGTAATTACACGTTGCACGCCCACCAAGACCGCTTCATCTTCACACTTTCCCCATCGCTACAGACTGCGCCACACTGCCTGCCGCCTGCAACCCGAGCCTCACCATCAGGTCTGGTGGTCTGGTGGCCTGTCAAGTTTCGCCCGGGATTGCGACCCCCGGCCCTGCCCGTCATCCGGTGCTAGTCTTGCCCTCCCCGGCCCTTTCTCAGGTCGGAATACGGCCAGGTCGCATCAACCCCTCCTCGTCCCGGGACCACCCCGGCCGCGTCCAAGGAATGAGCCACAGATATGCGTCGTTCCTGAACCACAACCACCGTTCCGGACGCGTTTCACGCCCGGGAGGTCCACCATAATAGGTGACGAGTAGCGATCGACAGAGTAGGCAGCTTTTGGCGGTTGCGCTCGCTGGACACGAGTGCGCCTGCTTGTCGTCCATGATCAGCGCCGTGCTGCTGCTGCCCTTTAGCTTTGCACCATCCAAAAAGGAAGACAATGTGGCGATTTCAGAACCGCATCCCGCATTCCATCGCCACCGCCGAGATTTGCCTTGAAAACCCGGCACTCGACCTCAAGCGATTCCCGCCCCCTCGATTGCCGTTAGCGGATTCGCCATGTATGTCACGGACACAAAGCTCCAGCCACAACCGCTGTCAGATGACTGGGACTCAGCGTGGAGCTTACAGGTGACTAACAGTGGCGGTTGCCTGTGCGTCACAAGCTTTACTGCAAACCGGAGGTGTCCCAGCCACAGCCAGATCCGATGAACGTTGACGTCAGCGTGGAGCGTGGGCTTGGGTGATCTTTTGCCTTTCTTCACATGGACTCCATCAATATATTTGCAAGACTCTATTGAATATCGGCATGCATTCACACCAACGACCGGCTTGAGACTCGACTACGTCAAATGCTACCGTCCATAGACCAACCGACGAAACCTTGATGCCTCAAGTGCCCAGAGTGGACCTCTCGTACTGTCGCCCAATCGCGGCAGGTTGGAGGCTGCGGGAGTTGGTTCGTGCAGTCGCAGAGTCCGGTCATGGTCGTGTGACGCTTAGAGACGTAGGGCAGATTCCTGCGGCTGCTGCCAGCACCCTACAGCTCGTGCCTTTGTGTTCACGCCGATGCCTGCCCGGCTGCGCTTGCCTAGCACACACACATACCGCCACCAAACCCGGCCTCGACAGCACGTCGTCGTCGTCAGCCAAGCCATGTCGGATCAGGCATGCCCAAATTATGACCGCAGGTGTAGTAGGCAGCCCTATGAGGGATTCGTAGCGCAGGTCGGGTCTCCACCCATCTAGAAACAAACAGCCCAGCCCCTGTCGACGTGATCCTTGGGGCGCCCTTCTTAAGGTGACCTTGCCTCGTGCTCGGGGAAGGCGCTCACCACCCTCGACTGCTGCATGTCTTATCTATTGCCGTCGCCTGCCAGTGACTCGCATCTGCCCCTAGGATTGATACCACGCCCGTGCCACCGAGAGACACTTTTGCACCCCTCTCTGGTTGTAGCCTGATCGCAATACGCAGCCACCCTAGGAGCTGGCTTGATCATTCGCCGCCTGAGATCCATCCACCAACGTCTCAGCTGCGTTCACTCAGCACCGCCTTGCGCGCTCACGAGGACAGGAGAGAAAAAAAGTGCAGAAGGAAGGCCGTTACTTTATATACTCCACGCTGGACTGCTGAGGCAGCATATCACTCCCAACATGGCGGCATACACAGGAGGGCACCCAACCCCTCGAGCACACTGCCAGGCAATAACCGACGAGATGCAGAGAAAGACGCGCCAGGAGTGCGGCTTCGATAAGGCTGAGTCGTCGCTCTCCAGCATCGTGACCTCGTCCTCCAAGAAGCCGGCGGCGGCGGCGGCGGCTGCGGGCGGCGGCGACGATGCGAGACCGGCAACGGCCCCGCGGCGGGCCTCGGGCGTGTCCAGGTTCGCCGACAACCTGCTCTCGTACCTGGGCACGCGCAACCCGCGGCCGCGGCCCATTACGCGCGACGACACGGTCTGGCTGCTCGACAACGTGGCGTTCCGGGACCCGGCGGACCCGACGCGGTGGCGGGCCGAGTTCGTGGCGGTCGCCATGGACCAGGCGCCGTCGGTGAGCGCCATCGACGTGGTGCAAGCCGTGGCGCGCCACATCGGCCTGGGCGAGGCGGACGCGGGCCTCGAGATCATCGAGCAGCGCATCACGCCGTTCCTTCAGGACGCGCTGCCCGGCCGGGAGGTGCAGGCCCTGCACCGAGGCCGGCTGGACCTGCGGCTGGGGCCCGGGGGGCGAAATGGCATCAGCAGCGACCTGCGCCACCTGCCCGACGCGCCCGCGGGCACCGTGGTGGGCACGGCGGCGCAGGTGCCGCAGGGCGCAGACGGCATCCTGGCCATGAAGACGCTCTTCGCCGAGCCAGACGGCTGGGCCGTCGTGTCGGACGTGGACGACACCATCAAGGTGACGCAGACGTCGGACCCCGTCGGCATTTTACGGTCCACCTTTCTGGACGAGCCCACCCCGGTGACCGGCACGCCCGAGCTGTACGCGTGGCTGCACGAGAGGCTCGGGCCCGGAGCGCCATTCTTCTACCTGTCGGCGTCGCCCTACAACCTGTACCCGTTCCTGAGCGCGTTCCGGGACATGTACTTCCCGCACGGCCAGCTGGTCCTGCGCGACCAGAGCTGGGCGAGCATCTCGGGCCTGCTGTCCAACCTGACTCTCGGAACGGAGGAGTACAAGGTCTCGCGTCTGGCAAAGGTGCACGCCTGGCTGCCCAAGCGCCGCATGATCCTGATCGGCGACTCGACGCAGAGTGACCCGGAGGCGTACGGAGACATGTGAGTACTGTTTTTCGTTTGCAATCTGCTACTATATACGTATATGCTTGCTGACTCTTGCCACCCCACCAACAGTTACCGAGACTTCCCTGGCTGGGTCAGGCTGATCCTGATCCGCAAGGTCACCGACATCGCCTCGATCGGGATCGAGTCCAAGAACGAGCCGGAGCGGTTCGACAAGGCGTTCCAGGGCGTGCCCAAGGAGGCCTGGCACGTCTTTGAGGACCCGGCAGAGTGCCAGAAGCTCATCGAGCAGGTTGTTGCGGCGGACCCTTGATCGTGTCGTGCTTGGGGACTGGGCTTTATCTGTTTGTCGGTTCAAGGACTGGGGACTCGGCGCTTAGTGTTTTCTGGTTGACCTGTTTGTGTGATATTCTCTCCACACCTTCACGCATCTTCTGTATCTCCCATATCTATTCCGTCACTGCACATCTAGATTAGGTAGTTATTTTCAACCGTTGTTTACTTGCCAGTCACAGGCTAGTACCTGTTTGCTAAGGATATTGTCTGCCTATTGGTCGACTTGTATCGAGGTCTTGGACGCTTGTAGTTCCAGCTGGTCACATCGCCATGGTCAGCAATTCCTCTTGGCAACCACGGCTTATGAAAAATCTGTCGTTAGACGGCCGGAGATGGAGCAGACCAAAGCCCGGCAGAGCGCATCATATTCAATTAGGGGGCGGCGCAACCAGGAATCTGCGACTCCGGGCGTCCTTGATGCGGGAGGATTCTCAGACTCCAAGACGGCCTATTCAGGTCGGTATCTGGATTTCGGGAATTGACCAAGCCTCCCGCAACGTGCATCAGACACCGTGATCCGGGCTTTCGACACTCTACCGCGAAATGGGAGATGGAAGCTGCGAGGGATAAGCAGCGCCACTTCCACCATACGTCCCTACCTCTAGGTAGTCGCGGCCCGGCTCAGGCTCGCGTCACGCCTGCTCACCCCGCTCAGTGATGCTCAGGGATAAAATCACCACGGCACCACCTCCAGCTAAACTGTAGCCAAATTGCTTTCCAGGTACTAGACAATGATGGCGATGCAGCACCTAGTTACTGCAGCAGTCATTTGATTGCGACCGCCTTCGGCACAATTAAAATAACCCACAACCATACTGGAGCAGCACGGTGCCCGGAAAAAAGTCTGGACCGAATTTATTCCCCACCGCCACAAAAAAAAGAGCCCATCCGGAAGACTTCGGCGCTCCGGCAAAGCGAAAAACGTTATTATGGCTATAAGTAATGCCTTTTGTATCAAGATAATCACAAATCCCTTAAACGCGTATTTTTTTTTTTTTAGGTGTAGAGTGCGGCGCAGGCATATTGTTCGGCTTTGGTGCAGGTACAATTGTGGTGGGAGAGGTAGAGTTTGGATGAAAAATTTGCGGTCCGAGTTATTTTCCGGGCATCGTGCCTGGACTGTGCTCGCGATTGAGTCGTCAGAAGCAGTCCCCGTCAGGTAGGGCACGGTGGCTAAGCAACCTGACCTATGGCTGAGGCTCCGCTCTCGCCCGTTCAGATTTCCAGAATTCGCTCCCCGTCCAAGCACAACCCCGCTTTGAAATATCCTGAGCTCATCGGACTACCTTCTCAGGTACCAGCCACCACCAACAGCAGCACACCATGTCCAACGCCGATTTCCATCTCATCTACTGGCCCGGCATCCCCGGCAGGGGCGAGTTCGTGCGCATCGCCCTCGAGGAGGCCGGCGTCGCCTACAAGGACACGGCGCACCAGGCCGACTGCATGTCCGTCATGCAGTCGGAGCTGGCGGGCGACGACGGGAACCCGCCCGCGTTCGCGGTGCCGGCCCTGCGCCACGGCGACTTGCTCATCAGCCAGACGTCCAACATCCTGCAGTACCTGGGCGAGGTGGTTGCCGGGCTCGCGCCCGCCGAGGTCCCGGGCCGATACCACGTGCACGCGCTGGCGCTGACGGCGCTCGACGGCTTCAGCAACGAGGTGCACGACACGCACCACCCGGTCGACATATCGGCCTACTACGACGACCAGAAGGCCGAGGCGCTGCGCCGCGCGCGCGCGTACGTGGGCGGGCGCCTGCCAAAGTTCCTCGCGCACTTTGAGAGCGTGCTGGCGGCGCCAACCAGCGGCGCCGGGCCGTGGCTGTACGGCGGGCGGCTGACGTACGCGGACCTGACGCTGTACCACGGCCTCGACGGCGTGCACTTTGCGTTCCCCAAGGCGGTGGCCAAGGCGAGGGAGTCAGGCAAGTATGGCAGGGTGTTTGCGCTGTACGATGCTGTGAGGGAGAGGCCCAATATCAAGGCCTACCTGGCGAGCGAGCGTCGGCAAAAGTACTCGGATGGCATCTTCCGGTACTACCCCGAGCTGGACATTGTTTGAGGTTTGGGCGGGTTTGGACGCCTGGGAAGTGGCAAGGAGGGAGAAGGTTACAGTCATTTGAATGGGGAAGGGGAAATTTTTCTAAGCTGTGTTTGTGATTATTAAATGGAAGGTGGTAGGATACAACCAAAAGACAAGGAGGAACGAACTCCTTTCTAACTCCTGATCTCTCTGGACCAAACGTCTCCGCACCTCTCACGACTCCTCCTCGGGAACCAACCCCAGCTTCACATTCTCAGCCTTGGACCGCTGGCTCCACTCCGGGGGCTCGTCCCTGCCCTCCTCCTCGGCAGCCTCGCCCTCCTCCTTGGCCCTGTGCACCGTGGTGGCGGCGTGCTCGGCCGGGCTGTAAACGGTATAAAGGATCAAGGGAGTAGACCCCTTGTTCAGGAACTGGTGGCGCGTGCCGGCGGGCACGATGACCATGTCGCCCGCCTGGACCGTCTGCTCGCGGCCGGCGACCTGGGCCAGCCCCATGCCGGCGGTGAAGGTCAGGATCTGGTCCACGGCGTGCACCTCCTCGCCGATGTCGCCGCCGACGGGCACCGCCATGAGCACGACCTGGCTGTGCAGGCCCGTGTGCAGCACGCGCCGGAACTCGGCCGACTTGGAGGGCAGGGACGTGGCCATCTTGGGGTAGTACTTCATCTCGCGGGCCGGCGGGTCCGTCGACGGCGTGGCGAAGGATGATGATGTTGATGATGATGCCATTTTGGCGGTTGAAGAAAAGTGTCTGTGTCGAGAAGATGCCGTTTTTAGGGGGGTTTGTGCCAGTTTCCGATTGTTTTTCTTCAAGTTACTTAAAGGTCGGAGAGATCGAGGAACATATGTATAAATAATTGGAGAGCAAGAGAATGGTATTCGTTTCTGTCGCCAAGACACGGAATCTGCCCATTTATCTCTTGAGCAATATCGGAAACCCTCTCTCAGCTCTGTGGTTGATTCTACCCATGGTATTTGCCACCAAACCTCCAAGACGCTGCTCCGAGCCGAAGAGGCGAATGTCGGCGAGGGGCTCACTAAGACGTCACGACCAACAGTCATCATCGGCAGGCCGGGGTTTCCTCTGGAATCTGCGGAGCATGCTCGGGATCGAAAACGGCGGCGGCAGCATGCCTTCAACGTGAAAGACCGGGGCCGTCCGACACGAGTTAGGCGAGTGTGTTGTGTGCTCGTGTGCTCGTGGTAAACCAGCAGAGCGTCCGCGAGCCTGGGTTGGGGTTGGCTGGCGTGCCGGGGGTGGCATCCTCGCATCCATCCCAACATGGACGCAAGTCTGGTTGATGTCCATGCTCAACCAACGCACACGTGCAAATCTAGACCTAATCACGAAAGCGCAATCTCACATTGGCGCCCTTTACATCCAATTGCCCGCCATCCCAACAACAACTTGCGGGGATCCGTGGTGGTCTGTTTTGGGGATGCAAAAGCTGGAAGCGAGCTGCGAAATGTGCAGCCGAGGAGTAACGCACTCAGCGGGCACTGGGGCAGTGAGGGGAAAAGCTGCAGGGAGGGGGAGTCTGGCTGTCAGATTTCCCCAATCCAGTTTCCCGATGCGACCATCGGCTCCTCTCGGCCCCCCTTGCCTGCACGCGCTTTTCTCGTAACCCTATGCACCCCTGCTCTTCGGCGTCCCTTCAGGCTGGCTGGGCAGATGTAGAAGACTCCAAAAGGAGGAACCGCTGAAGAAAGAAGAGAAGCAAAAGAAGGACAAGAAAAAAAGGACGAGCCGGGGAATGGAGAGGGGGTGAGGAGGTTCACCCCAAGTCGTCTCCTCCCCCCTCCAAAAAATGGCAGAACGGTCAAAAAGTCCCACCACCCATCGGCAGTTCCGAAACAAGCACCCGCCCCCAGTTGCACGCGGGTACACGGGCGCTCGCATGTTTTTGGGGTTGGTTGGCTCGTCTCGTGTCACCTGGCCATCCTCTTCGCCGGCCGGGGAGGGAGGAAGACTGGGCGAGCAAGGCACCTTGGAGGGAAGGAAATTTGATGGGCATTTCTGCTGGCAGCCCCATCTGAACTTGGCGGGATAGGTGGAAGCAAATCAGAAAAGACAGAAGGAGCTTGGCTTGATTTCTACCCCCCGGCTTTGTGCCGCCCGCCCGCCGGGAGGGGCTGAACAGCCCAGCAGGCCAGGTTCCCCCATCGTTCGGCAAGACACCTTTGCCTACCGTCAACCATCAATGCTGAATCGTCTGGGGTGTGTGCGAACCGGTCGCGCACTACGACACGCCATTGGGGCCGACCAGCCTCGCTTGATAGCTCGATGCAACCATGTGAAGAAGGGACGTCGGCCAAAATAACACCGAGAGAGGAAAGAAGAATAAGGCCGTTTTTTTCGTCTTGTTTTTCCATCCCACTGCCCTTGTTTGTACCTGCGGCCGTGGAAGGAAATCCTGCATGTCGAGTGCGGCGCCTCCTTACGAAAAGAGCAAGGGACCGACACGGGCCAAGGGAATGCAGCCATACGTCAATCGGCCTTTGCTCCGCGGTCGAACCGATACGTACTTGCCTACCAACCACCTAGACGGGGGCATACGGATACACCCAGCGCGGACACTGACTGGTCCCAAAGGAGCTGGGGAAACACGGGGCGGTCAGGGAAAAGCCAGGACGGCGACGACGGCGACGACGACCAGGAAGACGCCTCTACACAAAACCAGACACACACACAAAGACAGCCACCCCAAATGATGCCACCGGACTCGTGGCAGGCCGTGGCGGCGCGCAAGCAGGCGCAGCGCAGCGCCAAGATACCGGCCGAGTGGCGCATCCCGGCCTCGATCCGGCCGCCGGCCGACGTGGCCTCGGTGCAGGACTTCGCGCGCGACTCGGCCTTCTTCACCGAAGACGAGTTGCGCATCACCGAGGCCACGGCGTCCGAGGTCGTCTTCCGCGTCGCCCGGGCCGAGTGGACGGCGCTGCAGGTCACGACGGCCGTCTGCAAGCGCGCCGCCGTCGCCCAGCAGCTGCTCAACTGCCTGACCGAGGTGCTGTTCGACGACGCCGTCGCGCGCGCCAAGGAGCTCGACGCCTATTTCTTGCAGACTGGCCGGACCGTGGGGCTGCTGCACGGGTTGCCCATCAGGTGAGGCGGACTTTTTTTTTTTTGGACTATTTTCCCTCCTGTTTTCCCCACCTTGTTAGCTACCTCGCGTGCTGACCTAGGGCTGTGTGCTAGCCTGTCAGATCAGTTTTGGCTCAAGGGCGTCGACTCGACAATAGGCTACGTCGCGTCGGCGGATAAGCCGGCGGCAGAGGACTCGACAGTGGTCCAGCTACTACGCGATGCCGGGGCCGTGTTTTACGCCAAGTCAAACGTCCCGACGACGCTGACAAGCGGGGGTAAGCCCGTCCCGTCCCAATTCTTGCACTTATCCGGGAGAGCCCGGGAGCGAGGCCTAGAAAGAGAGGCAACCTGCCTAGGTGCCTCTAGCTATATTAGCCACTCACGTCCCATGCTCACCATCCGCCCAAACGCGCACAGAAACGGTCAACGGCCTCTTCGGCCGCACCGTCAACCCGAGGAATCGAACCCTCAGCCCGGGCGGCTCGTCGGGCGGCGAGGCGGCGCTCGTGACGTTCCGGGCCAGCTTCTTGGGCGTGGGCACCGACATCGGCGGCTCGGTGCGGCACCCGTGCTCCTTTACGGGCCTGTACGGTCTGCGGCCCTCTCACGGCCGCGCGCCGCACCGGCGCGTATCGACCACGTACGCGGCGGGCCAGACCGACGTGCTGCGGCCCAGCGTGGCGCCGCTGTGCCGGTCGCCCGACGACGTGCGCCTCTTCATGGCCACGCTCGCGGCCCTGCAGCCCTGGCGCCTGGACCCCCTGTGCCTGCACCTGCCGTGGCGCGTCGACCAGGAGCGCCTGCCGCCGCGCCTCTGCTTCGGCCTCTCGTACGGCGACGGGGTGGTGGCGCCCACGCCGCCGCTGCGAAGGGCGCTCGACATGGTGCGCGCTCGCCTGCTGGCCGCCGGCCACGGCGTCATCGAGCACACGGCCCACGAGGTCCGCGAGGCCGACGAGATCATCGGCCGCATGGCGTGGACGGCCGAGGGGAACGGCGGCGACGAGTTCCCGAGGCGCGGCGCGGACCGGCCGGGCGAGCTGTCCATGTCGTCGTCGTCGTCGTCGGGGGCGGCGGCGGCGGCGGCAGGCCTGAAAGGGGGCGGCGGCTGGCTAGGGGCCGGGGTGGGCGGCGGCGGTGGGCTGGCGGCGCCGGGGACGACGCAGGTGGTGCGGGCGCAGACGGTGTCGGAGACGTGGCAGAACCAGCAGGCGCGGTCGCTGCTGTTCCGCAAGTGGTCGGACCGGTGGGAGCGCACGGCGGCGCGGCCGGGGGCCAACGGGCGGGTCATGGACGCCCTCATCATGCCCAGCACGCCCTTCCCCGCCGTCCGGCACGACCGCGGCCTGCCCTGGCACTATGGCCAGCTGAGTCCGCTGCTCGACCTCACCACGGGCGTCTTCCCCGTCACCAAGGTCGACCTGGTCAAGGACGTGGTGCCGCCCGACTGGCGGCCCATCTCGGACAAGGATCTCGAGATTATGAAATTCTGTGGGTGCCCTAATCAGAGGAAAAGGAGTGAGGAAAAAAGGGATGCGGGACTGACAATTTCACAATCCACAGATGGGAGACCAGAAAATCACGAAAACGCACTGGTCGGACTGGTCTTAATAGGGCGGAGGCTCGAGGAGGAAAAAGTGACGGCGATGCTAAAGGTGATGGAGCAGGTTGTGGGGGTGGATTATTGACTTTAACGAGGGGGGAGTTTGGTGTTTGCTCTAGACGGGATACGGCATCCTTTGACCTTGTTGCTACATGTAAGCACCACGAGGTGCATTCAGCCGGCAGCGGGAGAATTCGTTATGGGCCGATGCAAACGCTGTCTGCCAAAAAGCCATCACCACGTCGAGATGCAGCTGGCGCCTGTTTGTTACAGGATGGCCGGATGCAGTAAGTGCCGCGGGAGTGCTCGCGTCGGGTTAGGGTCCAGAGGGTCTGGACGTGCTGGGGCAGTGGTTGCTTCAGCGATTGCTTCAGCGGGCGGGTGGTGTCGCTCAGGCGTGTCCATCAGAACATGCACACGCATTCGGTGCTGAACATCTATGCCCGGTTAATCAAGAACATCATATCTTGCCAATTGATGAATTACCCGTGCTCGTAAATCTGCAGTGAGCCCTGAGCTCGCCCAAGCTCCCCAAGCCCAACGCCCAACCCGTCGCTGTCGCTGGCCGCTAAATCAGGCAAAGCCAATGCCTGCCGGACAGCCAAGCTGCCTGGCTGCGGCGTGGTATGATGGGGCGCAGGCCACACGCGTCATCGTCGCACCGACACAGTGAAGCGGCCGATCAGCCATCGTCTTCCTTTCCCTTGACTTGCTCTGTGTTGGCCCAGCTTCTTCCCACCATCCTTCGGGCGCTCAGCCAGTCCCTGTTGATTCCACCGCCCGCACGCCGCAACAATGGCAGCCCCAGCCCACCACGCCGACGGCGCCACCAAGGCCTACTTCGACCACTCGTCGGCCCAGCGCGTGTCCACCGACACCGTCCTCGCCCGCGCCCTGAAGGAGCAGTATCCGCAGCTGGAGCTCGTCATCACCCCCGAGTCCAACTGCGCCCTCTTCGCCTTTGCCCTCTCGGGCCACGCTGCCCTGACGCCCGTCGACGACGCCAAGGGCGACCACCACGGCGGCGGCAAGTCAGCCGCCCTACCGTCGTCGCTGTCATGGGACGTCTACCTGCCGCCGGCCCGCCGCCTCGACGGCGCCCGCGGCGGCATCGCTGAGCGCCTGCTGTTCGGCAAGTTCCTCTACAGGTGGCGCGACGCCGAGTTCATCATCTACCTGGCCGACGGCCGCGACGGCAGCAACTCTTACCCGGCCGTCACCAACTACTACGTCCTCTGCTCTCCGGCCGAGCGCCCTGCGGTCGACGACCTGCTGCTCGCGGCCGGCGCCTGGACCAACGAGCTGCACGACGAGGTCTGGGTCTTTGACGGCGGCTACTGGCGCAAGAGCGCCGAGCTGTACGACAGCATCCGCAAGGCCTCGTGGGACAACGTCATCCTGGACCCGTCCATGAAGAAGGCCATCATCGACGACCACCTGTCCTTTTACGGCTCCCGGGACACGTATGCGAGCCTCAAGGTCCCATGGAAGCGAGGCGTCATCTAGTCAGTGCTGTTTGGTAATTTTGTATCGAGAAAGGACCTTGACTGACTCCAGATAATATTACAGTTATGGCCCTCCAGGCAATGGTAGGATCCCACCAAGCCGGCATGAATTTCGGTTCCCCAAGTGTCGAGCCGCTCAACTAACCATTTGTGCCCACAGGGAAAACCATCTCGATCAAGGCCACTATGCGGATGCTGTATGACCTGAAGGATCCCGTGCCGACTCTCTATGTCCGCACCTTGGCATCTGTGAGTTTTGGGCTTGAACTTTTACGTGTTTGTGTCGTGTAGCTAACAAACCTTGCCTCTATCCAGTTCGGCGGCCCGGAAGCCGCCCTCGCCTCCATCTTTGGCATGGCGCGGCGGTACGCGCCGTGCTACCTTGTCTTTGAGGATCTGGACACCATCGTCGGCGACGACGCCAGGAGTTATTTCCTGAACGAGATCGATGGGCTCAAGGCCAATGACGGCATCTTCATAGTCGGTAGCACAAACCACCTCGACCGGCTTGACCCTGGTATTTCGGTACGTCCCTGTGGTTTGCTGCCCTCCGCACGCCCCACCCCACCTTGGCTGACCGCCCGCCGACCACTCTTGCCCGCGACAGAAACGCCCTTCGCGCTTTGACAGAAAGTACTTCTTCCCCGACCCGGACCGCGAGCAGCGTGTCGCGTACTGCCATTTCTGGCAGCGCAAGCTCGCCGACAACAAGGACGTCGACTTCCCAGACCCACTGTGCGGCGCCATCGCCGACATCACGGACAAGTTCAGCTTCGCCTACATGCAAGAGGCCTTTGTGGCCTCCCTGCTGGCCATTGCCCGCGAGAACCGCGACGGGGACGGGGAGGGGATGCTCGAGGACGACTGGGTCGGCGTGAGCGCCCCGCGGCGCCTCAGCTCTGGGAGCTCGCAGGCCGCCTCCAGCCTTGACTCCTGGGCCGACGCCGACGACGACGGCGAGCTGGACAAGCTCGTTCTGTGGGTCCAGATGAAGAAGCAGGTCAAGATTCTGCGTGAAGGAATGGACGACAAAAGCGACGGGCTTTCCGGCAAGCTCGACGCTGTCTCATTGTGATAAAGGTCTTTCCGCTTCCTTTTCGCATTGAACGTATTTTTGCTTTTCAGGCATTGTTCATGATGTTGCTATATCACTTCGTAGGGCTTTTTGTCGCTCATTCGCCCCTCTCAGAGCCTTGTTGTCAGCCTTGTTTCGGGGCCAAGTGTCCATAGCAAGGACCAGAAGCACTGGGGGAAAAAACAAAGGGCTTGACAAGATATAGCCACAACGTACCATACCATACCAATCGCCATTGTTGGGTGTAATTGCTTTTCCAACCGCTGGGGTATATAAGGCGGACGTCCAGACGATGGTTGGACTGAAGGGTGCGTCCTCATGGACATGCACGCTCACAAATCCGCCAGAGAGCACGCTCACAGAGAACACGCCCAGAGAACGCGCTCACAGAGGACGCTCACAGACTTGCCAGAGAACACGCCAGCAAAGATGAGTGGCTATGACCGCACCAGCATCAGCTCCCCCGGCGACGGTGGCGGGACGCGGCACCACTCCCACACCGACGACGACGCCGCCGGAACATGGATCCCCGTCATCTCCCACGGATTTGTGCATCAGAACCTGTTCGTTTGGCAACCCCGCGCGCCGACTCTTCCGCCGACTCTCCCGCCAATTCTTCCGCCGATTCCCCCTCCAGTCAGAGACATCACCCAACCGGCCGAGGAGATCGCGTATCTCCCCAGCCTCCGGAGGTGGCTACTCGACAGCCATACCCTCCAAGCCATGGGGGCGCCGACGGGCCCGACCCCTTTCGCCAAATGCTCCATCTGCCGCTTGGCCAGGCTTGACATCGCAGAGCTGCGGCCGCCCCCGGCGCTGCCGCATGGGCCTGCCGCTCTGCCTAGCGAGGAGGAGGAGGAGGAGGAGGAGGACGACGACGACGACGATCACGAGCGGGCGGTGGTCCTGTTCTGCGGCCACATGTTTGGTCGGAAATGCCTGACGTCCTGGTTGACGAGCCAGCTCGGAAGTGGGGGAGAGTACGGCTGCCCGGTCTGCAAGGCTAACGTGTGCTACGGCAGCTGGGGCCGGGCCGACGGCTGCAGCCACCACGTCCCGGGACTCGACATCGACGACTGCGGCGGCGTCCTGGCCGTCCCGCGCACGCGCGACGAGGGCGGCCGCCTCCCGGACCGCTGCGACCGGTGCCGGGTCATGCACGACCCCGCGGTCGTCGGCTGGGGCAACCGTGACGTGGCGGATGGGATCCGAACCCGGCCGGCGGCGCTCTGGCAGCCCCAGGCGGGCTCGCTCAATCCGCCTTCAGCTGCAGTGCCGGGGTATCCGAGGATGCCTCTATGGCCTCTGTCGCCTAGGATCTGGATTGTCGAGGGTTACCGGAATGTCCCCCGGGACTTCTGATACCTAGATCGGGGATGGATCCGTGGGCTCTTGATCTGCGCCTCTTGACGTCCAGATAGGTATCTAAACATTCGGAACAGATACATTCGGAATAGATAACATAGGCCTGTCAGGTGATGGTGACTTGCTGTCGTTTCTCATGTGTGCATTTGCCGGTTTCTGTCCCAGTATAAAAGAAGGATTCGGTTAATCTATTGGCGCCATTTCTCTAGGAAAAGACCGAACTCGGCATCCTTGGAACCCAGTTGAAGGATCGATATTTCTCGTTCCCCCCCGGAAACCGGGGAAGACGCGGGGGCATTGGACAGACCAAGCTGAAGGGCCGATTCCCGGCAACCTGGCACCCTCATGGTGCAGCCACCAGATCTTAGATCCTTGAATGCTTCCGCATCTGCGTCCCATTTAGCCAACCGAGACTGCATCCCACCAATTAGGCTCGATCCTACCTGTAAAGAAGGCCTGTTCTGGCCACATGGCGAGCACACCCTCTCCGGTGCCATGCTCCTTCCAGAGGGCACTTTTACAAGACGGTATCGGTGACCACAGGGATACAACCCGAAGGTCCCACGAGGCAACAATGCAGCAGGCCCGCGCCGACGCTGCTGTGCCGCCAGCGGGATGCTTTTTAAGGGCCCTGGTTCACTCGCCCACGGAGCTGCCCGACGCACCAGATGCGTCTCGCAAGGCAGAACCGGACCTCAAGGCTGACCCCCCAGAGGCCAGCTAGAGGACACTCAATGACGGCCAGGAGCACAGCCGCCGGGCCGCGGTCCCCCCTGGACGGCTTCAGGATCGGCTCCGTGACGGTCCCCTCCCGCGGCGATGGGCTCAACTGCGAGCACGTGGCCGGCATGCTGACGCCGCTGTCGGCGCACGAGGTCGACGCCGGCAACCCGGCCATGGCCGACATCGGGCTCCTGACCTTCCTGAGCGTCTTTGGCCACCAACTCCCGGGCCCCCTAGGCCGTGCCACCACGGGCGAGCTGCTCGACTGGTGGCGCGGCAGCCTCGAGTCGGACCGGGACGCGGCACGGCCTTCCTGCGCGGCGTCACCACGACTTGCATGCGGGACGCCTGCTCCAGCACCACAGGCATCGGCGAGGCCGAGTGAGTACCGGAACAGCACCGTCCCCTATAGTGTGACACCCCCCTGAAACTGACCCGGGGGGCCAACGACGCAAAGCATCGCCGGCATCGGCATGTACGTGGCCAACACCATGCTCACCCTCCTCGTCGTCATGTACTGGGTCTTCTCGCTCGTGCACACCCCCTGCCCGGCGCACGGGAGGCACGGCGCCGCCGGCACCGGCACCGGCGGGGGCTGACGGCACGACTGTGCGGGAAGCGTAGTCTGCCACGCGCTGCGCGCCACCGTCGACGACGTCTTCGACGGCGCCCTCGTCTACAGCACATCCCTGCACGTCGCCACGCTCTCGCACCATGCCACCACCACCACTAGCGGCGGCGGCGGCGGCGGCACGACGACGCGGTACGAGGTCACGTTTGCGCAGACGAGCTGCACCTTTGCGGCCCTGTCTTCTTCTGCGCCGCCTACTTCGCCGCCTCGATCGCGGGCACCGTCCTGCCTCTCCAGGGCTGGGCCACGCGCCTGCGCCCGGGCAGGCCCAAGAGGCTCGAGAAGCTCACGCGGCGGGGTTTGTTCAACAAGCTCCGCATCGCGCAGTCCTTCTTCCCGACCTTTGGCATCTTCTTCTACACCTTTGTCGTGAACGCGGCGCGGAGCGACTTCAAGGACGAGAACAAGTGGGGCATCGGCCAGTACCTGGCCGTGGCGTCATGGCTCCCTTCAATAATAAAGCTCGGCTACTTCCTCTGCGGTATGTTGTATAGGTGTCCAGGATCACAAACACTAGTGCGGTGGAGCAAGATACATTTTCTTCCTTAGAAAACCAAGCTAAACTGATGTACCACCAAGATCCACCGCACTAGTGTTTGTGATCCTGGACACCTGTACAGTCTACAGTCTCCTCACCTCGTTTGATGACAAGGACAGACAGTTCGGGTGCAGGACGAAACTGACCTCCCCCTGTAGTGTCGGCGATGGAGACCGCCTTGACGAGCCACCTCCCCCTACCCTGGACAGCACGCCTGCCACCAGGCTACGACAGGGGCAGCAACGAGAATCCCCTACCTAGCACACCGCCCCACTGACGACGGCGACGACATTGCGGGACTGGAGGAGGGAGTAATGACTCGGAGAAACACGGACCTCGTCGCCGCCGTGGGTCTCGCCAGCCCAGGGCCAGACCCAGCCGTGCTGGGCGGCCTGCTCGCGCGGCGGGACTCGGATGCCACCGTCGTAGGCGACGTACCAGAGCTAGCAAAACTAAAAGATATTAAGCACTGAATCGTCCTCGCCCTTGATGCGTGACATGAGCCCGTGCGCCAGGCACAACTCTCTCTCTTTTCAAGCCCCCCCGGCGCATAGGCGAGGTCGGTGCTAGAGCACGTAAACAACCCACATCCGGAATGCGAACCACTCACAAGGGAGATTTGGAATATCTTACGGAGTGAGGGCAGATTTGGTTGCCAAAAAAAACCCAAAAAAAACCCCCAAGATCCGAGAATGCGGAACAGTGGCGCGCAACCACGGCCACGGAACGCGCGCCTCGAGTTTCCCAAACACGGGACTTTGCCGCAAGTCTCGGCCTCAGACGCATCCGCCCCGTATCCGCCTGCTTGCGATCCAGACCGCAAAATTAGAGTTGACCTAAATCGGTCCCCTGGTGATGGTGCACGTTCCGCTATGTGCCATGTGGGCCAGGGGGGGGAGCGAAACAACCTGGCACAACTGGCTGGGTGGCATCATGCATCATCCCAATGTCATGATACATCCCTGGTGGGGTTCAGTCCCCGGCTCTCGCTTCCGCGGTGCACCTCCGAGGCCGCCGAATCCGCGCCGCCCGCGCCGACGTTCTCATCTCCCGTATACGGCGTTGGTCTCAGAACATGTCTGGCATTTGTCGTTTTTTTTTTTTTCGGTTTGTGCGCAGGCTGTCCCGTTATCAGACCGCTTGGCTGCGGAATTCGGAATAGGCAGGGGCCGCCTGTCTGGATTTGAGGCAGGTCCCTGCCATGTACAGTGTGGCCAAGCAGGAATTTGCGGTCGTTGTCAACCGAAATATCGAACCTCGGTGGCTGGTGTAATACCGTAGTCACTCTGACAGCATTACTGCATATAATGTGTTGGGTGGAATGTACTTCCAGAGGTACCTTAACGCGATCCAAAGGGCTAGGGTTTAATGCTATCAATATTTATGTTATGTTTTCGTTCGATAGTGCCTAGGGTTTTAGGGAGCTAGAGATGGTTGAACCGTGGAAAGTGTCTGGAGGAAACTTCCTGGGATCTGGTGAGGCAAGCAACCCATCCTGGAGATCTACTTTGCCAATAGAAATAAATAAGCGGTGAAGTGACGGTTGCAAATTTGCGGACTTGCCATTGTAGGTTCCAATTTGAGGCAACTGATGTAAAAAGAAGGGGAGCGGAAGAGATTGCTAGCAAATCAGGATTGATAATAATAATATTGAGCAAGATGGGCAAAAAGACGAGGAGCAGAGATCACATCGAGAAAAACACCACAACGCAGACCTGATAAAGATAGCTGTTCAAACCATTCTATGCCAAACAAGAGAGTAACGGACAAGGGAAGAAGACATTTAGAATTAATCATCACTGGAGGGCTTGTATCTCGACGATGGCTACAAAAAAAACAACCGGCTGTCTGTGACGGATGCATCCGAGGAGCTCACGTGGTTTCCATCATCGTCAGGTGCAGTGTTTGTCAACCAGGCTAACAAATAGGCACCTACCCATCTCGGCCGCCCTGGAATCTGTAGAAAACATGACGCCAGACCAAGCTTCCCCTTGCCGCACGGATCATGCAATGGGGCTCGGTAACCAAAGACGACATCAGACACTAGTCCCAATGGCACACCCACGGCACGTGGGCACCCAGGGTCGACGCAAGCGAGGCAAAGGACGGACGACAAGGCCAAGAGCAGGCTGCAGGCCAAAACCACAACACGGCGCGGGCAAGAGTAGAGGATAGGTATGGAATACAGATTAAGGATTATTAAATTGACGAGGCTCGCAAAAACCGCTCGACTAAAAAAACACCAGTCCCCGCAGCGTCTCCCCCAACTGGTCAAAGCTGAGATTTGCTCCAATAGGTTCACAGCAGCCGATCATCTCCCCTTTCGCCGACCATCCGTGCGCCGCGCCCGCACCCCCAAGGATCTCGACCAATGGCGCGACGCGGCATGGTGTGTGCGTGTCCTTGGGCTCGTCGTGTGGCGTGCTTCAATCGATCCGCCCGGACGTAGCTCTAGAGCTGCAGACTGAAATATGCCAATCGCGTGTTCCGACATGCTTTGCCGTGTGACAGTCGCCGCCGTCGGTTGTCAAGATCATGGGCGCACAGGCTGGGCTGCATGCCTAATTGGGCCGCCTCTTTTTGGCTGGTAGTTTCGAGAGATCATCCCCCCTCACGAGGGACAACACAAGCAGTTGGTCGGTCGGGTTCTTTCGTCAAGGGGGGTATGGCCCTCTGGATTTCTTCATTATCTCCCATTGGGGGGGGGGGGGGGGGGTGTGGCACTTTTCGAGTTGCCACAGACTCGTCCAGAGAAGAAAGGGAAAGGGAGAAAGGAAAATGTGCCAGCAGGGACGGCCGTACAGCTGCAAGCAGTAAAAAGAAGGATATCACAAGAAAGGGGGTAAGAAATAAGAAGGAAACTCAAAAGACGCCCAAGTCGCCCCTCGGAAACAGATAACCGCCACCATGGTTAGCCGAAACAAGGCAAGGCTGGGATGAGGCCCCAGGCAGCATGACCTCGGTCGACAGCGTCGCTGCTGTTGCGCGCCAGCAACGCGCTGCGACAGGTCGGTCGCAAGTTTCGGGGCGACTTGGTCCTCGCTAGCCAACCCCGTCTATAGGGCAAGGGCGGCGAAGAGAGTGGTGCCAAAGACGCCGGCCAGGATGCCCATCTCCTTGGCCATGCCGACCGACGGCCTGTTGGCGGCCGCCGTGGGGACGGTCGTGGGCTTGGTGGTGGTGGGCTTGGTCGGGAGGACGGTGTTTGTCGGCGCGACAGTGCCCGTGGCCGTGTTGCTGCCCTGGGCGGTGGCGGCGGAGAGACCCGCGGCGCACCCGCAGACTGAACGATACGTGACGATCGAGGTCAGCTGCCGAGAGCGGCGAACGACTAATAAGAACGTAATGATGGTGTTATTTACCTTGGGCACCACCGTCGATGACGGCCTGGTAAGACGACGTGGGGCACGCCGTCTGCACGCAGCCCTCGACGGCCGCCATGAGCTTGGGCTGCGACTTGCACTGGCACTGAAAGTCGGTGCCGGCGCAGCCAATGGACGGGGCCCCCTTTATGAAGCACGCCTGGGCGCACTGCGGGATGACCTTGAGGGCCGTGGCGACGCAGTCCTGCGCGGCAGCGACGCCGGCGAAGGCGGCCACCGAGGCGGCGACCACGTTGAGGCTCGTAGAGAACTTCATTTTTGCGTCGACTGGGGGTGGTGGTTGTGGGGTCCGATACCGCAAAAAAAGGCTGAGCCGGGTGGGATAGAGGGAGAAGAGAGAGGGGAGGAAGTGGTCAGGAAAGGTGTGGTTGGGTCTTTTGCTGTTTCCACGTCTCAGGGGGCTCCGTTCTCCTTTCAAGCGAGTGTATGGCACTGGTGCGGGCGCGGGCGAGGCGGGACGGTCGTGTTCAGATCTGATCAGTCAAGTAAAAGATCTTGGGGAGCCAGGCACATACACACACGGACAGGAGGCGTAGTGGTAGAGGGAGAGGGGGTGGTTGACGGAGGGGGAGGGGAAACCGCGTGTTTTTGCATGCTTTCCCGGCCACCACCAGACGTCAGTGCATCCTCTGCGGGAGATACATCCATCACTTCGCTTTCGTCCCCGACATGGTTTCCCTTCCTCGCTCTCGTTGCTCCCTCTCTCCACCCCTACCCTCTCTCTCTCTCTCAGTTTTTTTTTTCACATGGATGGGCGGGTTCGGGGGCCGTGGTTGGTTACCATGCAGGACCCGTTGGGCCTGTGGTAGCATCCAAGGCCGGGGCCTAACCCAGTTCGAGCCGGCCAATAACGTCGCTGTTGGGGCACATTGCTGCAACCTGCAATAAACTGACGGATCGGGAAGTCGACGCCGAGGCCTGGCTGGTGGGTGGCTCGGTGGGTGGGTGGGTGGTGAGGGGGAGCCCGAGTCTGCCTGTGATTTCGATGCCGTCTCGCATACGAAGTGTAGCCTCTGCCGCCAGCCAGTGGCGTGGCAATGGTGCCTGAGCGTACTGAGCGTGCTGAGCGTGTTGAGCTATCTGGTGGGGGGGTGCTAGAATGGGACGCAGCCAATCGGACCTTGGCTGCAGTGCCGCCCCTGCGCGGGTGACGCAGGAAATCAAATCAGCTCAATGTGATCAACGCGCTGGACTGCAAATCTCGCAGAACAAGCTCGCGAGCGCATTGTGCAAGCTTTGCAAGCTTTGCAAGCTCGGCGACGCACAGCGAGCCCAGCCTCGCTCGACCAAAGCCTACGTCAACCCTCATGTTCCTTCCCCCCGACTTGACTCGACACCGTCGACATTGACTTTCTGCCATCCGATAAAATGGATACCCAATTCCGTGGCCGTGGATCCTCCGAAATGATGGCAATTCGCAGCTCGCAACTCAAAAGAGCACCCGAGAGCTTTGTGTCCTCTCACGGCCAGCACTTGCACAAAATGAGGATTTACCCACCACGCCTCGCCAAGTGCGACCCAGTCACCAGCCGA